TGAAGATATTTAAGAGAGGTGAGTTAGTAACATTTGTTTGTTCATTCGGCAATGCAACGGTATTATTATTACTTTTTAATATCTCTAACTGTTCCAGCACACACAGCCGCAGCCCTTTATTACACGTATGTAAGACTTTAAAGGAGTGGTCGTTGGCTAGGTTGTGTCCAGTGTCCAAAAGATGTTTGGCACAATGGGATTTATCGGGATAGCAATTCCTGTACGCGGCTAAATGCTCTTTATAACGTGTCTCGAAATTGCGACCAGTCTGACCCACGTAAACGGCGTGGCATTCGTCACAAACAAGTTTGTAAACACCTGACTTTTGACGTATATCCAACTTATCTTTACTATTACAGATATTTCTAAGACAATTGTTTGTTTTGAACGCCACATGAACGCCGTTTTGTCGAAGAGTATTAGCTACATTTTCAGATATGGGGCCTAAGTAGGTCAACCTGCTCACATATCGATGAACACTTTGAGGTTGAACCGCGTACAGAGAGTTGCGAATAACATGCTTTTGTTTCTTTTTAATTAAATTGTTAATGAGATTTTTTGAAAAACCGTTAGAGACCGCTATTTGATAAATTATATTAAGTTCTTTTAAATAATTTTCTTTACTTAATGGGACAGTGAACAAACGGTTAATGTAACAATAAAAAGCGGCTACTTTATGTTGCCACGGGTGACATGATGACGCGGGGATACGTCAAAAGTCAGGTGTTTACAAACTTGTTTGTGACGAATGCCACGCCGTTTACGTGGGTCAGACTGGTCGCAATTTCGAGACACGTTATAAAGAGCATTTAGCCGCGTACAGGAATTGCAATCCCGATAAACCCCATTTTGCCAAACATCTTTTGGACACTGGACACAACCTAGCCAACGACCACTCCTTTAAAGTCTTACATACGTGTAATAAAGGGCTGCGGCTGTGTGTGCTGGAACAATTAGAGATATTAAAAATTAAAAATAATACCGTTGCATTGCTGAATGAACAAACAAATGTTACTAACTCACCTCTCTTAAATATCTTCAAGCCTGCTCTCTAATAATATAGAGCCTCGCAATTTGGTCGTTTGTCACCCTCACGGTGATCGGCGATTAGTTACGTGGTTGGAGGGTGGGCGTAGCGCGGCGGTTTGTTTTTAATTTTACAAACGGCTGCGTAAGTCCAGCGGTGATTGGTCGCATGTTTTATCGCATGACGCAGTCACTCGCTCCTTAGGCAGAGAGCGGTTGCATCATCGGTCTGTATAAAAGGCACTTGTTTTGGCTCGCAGCTCACTTAGCGGTTAGCTACCGTAGAGTCTATATCACCTGAGGATGCCTCGTATAGAGGCGAAACACGTGTCGTATTATCGTCAGTGGTGTGTCTTGCCTAGTATATTGGTGTTGGGAGTAGCGGTGCTGGGATTAGTGGTGACGGGGATAGTGCACGCAATTGAGGGAGGGCGGGAGGTGCTCTTCATACTAGGTAAGACACATCATTTTATTTTATAACGCAAATATTTGCGAAGTAAATTTTTGTAAGAGCTTTTATTAGTTAGACATGTAAATAAAAAAATTAAAGTGATAAAAAGGAGGCCTTATCGTTTATATGTCATTTATTCAGAAGAAAAACCTATAGGTACATAATATACACAAATATATTGATACATTCGTTATTAATAAACTATTCATTTTTAAGTATTTCTGGAATACACATATAACTATTAACTTAACTACTAAGCCATTGCATAAAATAAATTTTCCCATTAATCGGGTAATAGTTAAGCTGCTGGCATATACAATTTTTCACGCACACTAGCATCATGCAAATTGTATTATACACACTACAATATTAAGACGCCGCACTCACGGAGCTGTTAATTGCAGGGAGCGCGGTATCTAGTCAGAGCGCGGTATCTAGTCAGAGCGCGGTATCTAGTCAGAGCGCGCGATGACTTATCATTAATCTATGAAAAGAGGAAATACGCAAACACTTCGTATAGCATATTTTGGATACGTTCAATCAACACTTAGGTACAGTGTTATGTTTTGGGAAAACAGTGGATCGGGAAAAGGTATTCAAAGCTCAAAAAAAGTGCATTCGAGCAATCAAAAATCTACACTGGACAGACAGTTGTAAACCACATTTTAAAGAGCTGCAAATTCTAACTTTTCCCTGTCTTTTTATCTATGAGACGGCTGTGTTTGTCTATAGAAACCTATCATTGTTTGAAAATTTAAATAATAGAAGGTATCCTCTGAGATTAAAAGTTCAACAATCAAAGTCAGTAAAAATGCGAAAAATTATATTTTGCCTATCCATACCTATCTATAATAAAATACCTAATGATATAAAGAAAATAAATAATATACAAACCTTCAAAAGATCATTAAAAACATTATTAATTAATAAATCTTACCATTCTATTAATGAATATCTTAATGACATAGAATTCCTGGTAAATAGTGTATTATCTATGACATAGAAATTACATCATTATAATATTTGTATTTGATTTGACATACCATGTATTATATATTTGACATATTATATAATATTATATATGATAACCCGGTGACATCGACATTTTTAATTTGTATTTTTTTTATATATATACTTAGTTTATTTCGTGACATTAGCTTAAGATGCAGTATTTATTTTTGACTCATGTATTTAACAATAGTAATAATAATTTGAAAAGATGACATTTTATTTACTTCACAGTTTCTTTTTTTTTTCAATATAGACGTAAAGGCGCCATTACGAAATGTGTTATTTATCATAGGTATCATTGCACGATGCTTTTCACTTTTGAATAATATTTAATACTACTTACACATATGATTATGGTACTTTTTAATGTGCAATCAATTTTAAAAGTATTAATTTTGCTTCTATTGACTTCTATCGTAATGAATATTTGTACTCCACACTGTGGTAGAATACACGATACCTAATGTAAATTTTACGAACACTTAACTTACTGTATTCACAAATAAATAAATGAATTTGAATTTGAAAAAAAGAGAAAAGTTTACAAGCTCTAATAATTATACCATTCGAAAAGCTGTATGAACGCGTTGCTGCTGCGACAGGTTAGTATTGCCAGATATGAAAAATTTAAATCACCAAATAATGTACTCGTGAAACATAGTAATAAAATTGTCTCAATTTACTGTCATTCATCTAAAATACCAGTATTTGTAGTTTGTGGTCTATGAAGTAGCTTTAGTGAGGGCATATTTACGGGCTTATATTTATTTAATTCTACCTATATAATAATTATTTGTCATTTTCTTACAGGTTTTTCTGAGAGATTTGTACACAAACTCGTCAATGAAGTGAAACACACTGAAGAATCCAATTCAAAAATTTCTACAATTGGCAAAGAAAAACCGGGAAATAAGAAATTTATAATTTTGACATTGGTGTTATAAGAAGAAAAATTCACGGATTTTACTAGTGAGAAAAGAAATTCCTACCATATCGAAATTACTGAGTAATCTAAAAAAAGATATTGATATCAAAGCAGAACGTGAAACTTTGGAAATTTATTCACAAAACAGGTAGTATTATATGTATAAATGTGTAAATGAACAATTTCTGTCCTCAGATGAAATAAATTCTAGAACAAAAATTGGACTATCGATAGGACTATATTGAAACTTACTTTAATTGTTATATTTAAAATTTATACAATTATTTTATTTGTTAAACTACTGGACTTCGTCCACGTGATTTAAGGTTTCTCAATTACCGCGGCAATTTTTTAATGTTCTGTTGTGGCGTGACGTGAAGGAATAACAAACATCCTAACTTTCATATATGCAATATATATTATATATCAAGTGGAGATATATATACTATATATATTCGCACATCATATTGAAACTACTGAATCTCTGATTGCAATATTCGCACGTATTCTACTAAATAATCTGACTGACCGAATAAAAATATGCACGAGGCGAAATCATTGTTGTGGGAGGGATTTTATTATCGTATTAATAATTTATTATTGATTCAATAGATAAGAAACTGTTCAAAATTTCAAATCCATAGAGCATAAACATGCAACTATCGATTGCAAGTTCTATGAGAATAATAAGCGAATAGATTCATTAACAATTACATACCACCCTATCCCTATAGTGAGCTGTCAAAATTATCAAGCTAAATTTGATAGCAAGCTAAATTTGACTTGAATTCCGATTCGATCCGATTCCGAGCGGAATTCCAAATGGGTCAGCCACACACATACGGAATCCCGTTTTACCCGCATAATATCGAACGGAAAACTACCGTACGTGTGTGACGGGTCATAGATTTTATATGAACTTGCTGTGTTCAAAATCTCCAATCGGAGTTCCAAAACGGAATTCCGTATGTATGTAGCGGGCCTAAGGCCGACCACATACATACGGAATTCCGTTTCGAGAATCCGTTTCGGAATTCCGAACGGGTCGGCCACACACAACATAAGGAATCCCGTTTTGCCCGCAAAATATCGAACGGAAAACTACCGTACGTATGTGGCGGGTCATAGATTTTATATGGACTTGCTGCGTTCGGGGTTCCGAATCGGAATATCGAAACGGAATCCCGAAACGGAATTCCGTATGTATGTGGCGGGCCTAACTCTGTATTCGCGGAATCCCGAATCGGGTTTTGCGAATCGGAATCACGAAATGGAATTCCGTACGTATGTGGTCGGCTGAATCCCGAATCGTAACCCGAAACGGATTCTGTATCTATTTGTCTGGCCTTAACATTAACAATATACGTCAACGTCAAACTTCGACGTTCGACGTCAATAACGTCAATTGATTGTCACGGCAATCATTTCAAACCGTGATTGTTTGTTTTCATTTATTTTTTTGCATTGGGCTGATAACATTAATATCGTATTTTTAACAAGGTCAATAAAATTGATTGCCTGAGTTAAAGGAGATAAGACGTTTGTTTGCTATACATTTTTAAACTAGACGTCTTTTTACTTGGAAGAATGTCTGTTAGAAAATTAATTCTGAGGTAAATAAGCTCTTAACATTTAGCGTTATTATTTTTATTTTTTTCTGCTATTATGCCACGTAAAAATAACTTTAAATTCGTACAGTTAGAGAAAAATAAAATTGATATCCTCTCTTGATTTTGTCCATAAAAGTTATAATATTTTGTAAATAACTCTTAATTTGAAGAATAATACCTACGTTGTGCTAGCCAAAAAATGGGGCAAAGAAGTAACTGTAAGCTTCATGTTAGATAAACAAGCAAATTATCAAAACATATGCTGGGAAAAGATTTTACAGAAGAAATTATGTATGCCATTTTATAGTATTCAACTAATGATGATACTTTTTCTTATAATGTTTATTTATAGTAATACAGTATAACATGTTACAGATCATTACTTCATCAGAATAAATTTGCTTATGTGCCAGCTATACTTCATCAGCAGCATCATACCCATGAGAAGTATGACAACTATGATGACAGACATAGAAATAAGAAAAAAAAATTTGCCTTCACTCTATTTGGATCCATATTAGTAGGTTCTACAATTACAGGTAAATATTTTAAACAATGCATAATGTTATTACTAATGTTGTTATAATATCATAAACAAAGTATTTTTAAAATAGCAATGTGTTTAGTGTGTTCATATATTGATATATGAAATAAAATTAATATTCTGACAACTTGAAAATATAATATCATCTAATCAGTGGCATAGCTACATAACCAAGGGCCCCAGGGCAATAATGAAATTGTAGCCCTATTTCCTACATCAGCTTTTTAAATATTAGTTCATACTAGGCGAATAAAGTTGTGGGTGGAAACTAGTAAAAATTAAACAATGACGAAGTAAATTACAGTAAATAATATAGGTAGACATAAACGAAGTAGATAATTTTATTTTAACAATATTATATTTATGTTTTAGATGTGTCAGAAATTTTTGTGATTTCAGTTCGAGGAGATGCATTTGAGGTTTTTAGGTTAACCAAAAAGTTAAAAGTTAATAATTCTTTTTGGAACTAGGATTACATATCATTCTATTCTGTTTCGAACATGGTTCATGTAGGCCAAAGGGCCCTTGAGCTTAGGGGCCCCGAGGAACTGCCCCGCCTAACCCTGCAGTAGCTACGCCACTGCATCTAATCAAATGGTCAATAAGATGTTAAAAGACATATTTATAGAGAGAAGGAGTAATCACAAATGTCTGTTAACATTTCTGTAAAATACCCACAGTTTTTTCTTGACAATGATATTCTTGACAATGTGTATTAAATAAATTTTAAGATCGGTTTAATCGGTATTATAACCGAGTTCTCTTAAAATTTATTTAATATTGGTCTGATATATGTTAGTTCTTTGAGTTTAATATATTGAGAGTATGTTAATGACAATATTTGAAAAATTCTGACCTACGTGACAATGGCAGAATTCTGTTGAGATTGCTTTTATGATACAACTAATAATATGTAATAGTTCTTAAAATAAACAATATTTTCCACATTTTATAAATCTCTAAACACCATATCACATTCATTACTCATATATTAATTAATACACTATAGCATTAATAATAATGCTATATCTAAATTAGTAAATTGGTTCAATGTTAATAATTTGCATTTAAATGGCACTAAATTACCACCATTTTTCTTGGAATCACACTAGACGCGAAGCTTCAATGGAGCCCCCATATATCAAAACTAGCAAGCAGACTTAGTTCTGCAGCATATGCTGTAAAAAAGATTAGAAGTCTTACCAATGTTGAAACAGCTAGACTAGTTTACTTTAGCTATTTCCATAGCATAATGTTGTATGGCATTTTACTATAGGGACATGCAGCTGACACTGAATTTATGATTTAAAGCCTAAAGAGTTGCTGCAACAAAAAATTAAGGAAATTAATATATTAACTTTGTCCTCTCAATACATTCATGAAAATAAAAGTAAAAAACACAAAAATAAAAGTAGTTTTACAAAAATAAGTGATATTCATTCTGTAAATACTAGGAACAGACAAAAGCTAGTTACTCCAGTTACTCGACTGCATCAAGTCAGTAATTCATTCTTGGGGCGATGTATACACTTTTACAACAAAATTCCACAAAATATACAATATTTGACCTGCTCAAAATTCAAAAACTTTATTAAACTAAGTTTGTATAAAAAGGTTTATTATAATATTAAAGAATTTATGGATGATAATAACCCCTGGAAATGAGGTGATTGCTACCAAGCTATTTCTAATTTGTTGTGTTGTTAATTTGTGTAGCATACATGATTGTTAGCTGTTATTTAAAAAAAAAGTCCCGCTGGTTTTCTTGCTGGTACTTCCCAGGACAGAGGTTTTTTTTTTCAAACCAGTGGTAATTAAACAAAGGAGTGACTTTCAATAAGTATTATTTATAATCTATATTGAATAAAAAAGTTTCTGTTTCTGTTCTATTAGCAATGCATTGAGTAATAAAATATATATTTACAAAATAAATTCATTACATTTATTATTTTAGATGATAGTAAACATAAATTAAATAAAGACAAACAAAAAACAGAAGATGAAAAAGGTATGGAAGCTGGTGAGAAGAGGCAGGATCTACCTACTTTCAGAGCTGAAGAAGTCAGCAAACATAACAACAAGTATGTATTCATTTAGTAATATTAGATAAACAATCATTAATGGATGTTTTAGAGAATATTAACACTCTACAAATATGTATGTTGGGATGATGTAGACTATATTGTAGAGGTTCGTAAAATAATCATTACCAGCAATCTTACAGGGCCAATACAACAAAACCTTACCTACCAAGGACCACTTGCCAACTATCAAGTAGCCATGTTCATATGTGGTAGATCCATGCTGCAGCTATATAAGTAGTATAGTTGTAGCACGACTTTTTAAGCTTGACCAGGGAAAGACCACGCTCTCACAGAATACCAGCGTAAAATGGTAGCTTAACACTGCTGTGTTTCGTATAGGGATATAGAGAACCGGAGACCCTTTTATCTTTTTACTGGAAAAATGCATTCCATCTTAGTCATCATGGGTGACAAAGCATCTGCATTTTGATTCTTTATTGAGGATAGATTTAGATGTCTACGGGTCACCGCAACTACTTACCATCAGGTGGACTGTGTGCTGGTTTGTCACCCTATCCTATAAAAACATGTAGCAGCGGCATAAGAGAATCTATCAACCTATTTTGTTCCATGAGTGTCTTATGGGGTGAAGGCTATGGGAAATGCTTATAAAATCTTATCGCTTCTCTGTTCAATTTCAATATTTAAAATTGAACCAAGAAGTGTTAACACGTTGACTGCCAGCCCGGTCACCGGTGACCGGACCCTACGCGCTGTGTTGGCCACCGGTGAACTCAAGACAGACCTGCTTTCGGGCAGAATTATTACGCCGGTGTCCACGTTTATAGTACATTTAGTATATGCAAATGACCAGAGCGGCGCTGTAGATTGTTACTTCAGCGTGGTTTCGGCGTGTTTATGAAATTGTGAGAAATGTGGGACGAAAATGAAGAATGTAAGAGAAAAAACGTGCCTGTCACAAAAATCAAGTATTTATTTTTATCAATGTGTGAAATATAAGTAAAAAACAAGTAACTAGGTATTCCAAAATACAAATTAAACGAAGCGATGGAATTTATTAAAACAAATTAAACAAAAATGTGGTTCATTTGGACATTCTTTACAAAATGTTGCTACTTTCTTTGTTTTATTTTTGGCTGATTTTGAACAGTACATTGCCACACAGTTTTTGTAGCATTCTGAATAAAATCGTCTAGTGTTCCTTACGTTACCCTCTTTTTTCAATAATTGATGTTTCAGTCTTTTTGGTCTATCTATTCTTTCGGGTTCTATGGTCTCCTCCTTTCTTGCATCAACTAAATACTCCACTAACTCTTCTAAACTGTACTATACTTTCACTTTTTTTTTATTTTCATTGTACATAACCCATGCATTAACTATAGCTGTATTCAATATAAGTTCTATTCCCAATTTTTATACTACTTAACCGTTTTACGTAATGGCGAGGAATATGCGGCCATTTGAACGCTCATATCAACTGCGCTTTTTGTTTTGTTGTAGGCTAAAACCATTCTTGGTTTGCGAATTACTTTACCATTTTTAGTTATTTTAGAAAATCCTTTAGAATATTTCGTGGATAACATCAGCACGTCTCTTTTGTCCTTCCACTTCAATACGCATATTCCTCGTTCATTCTCCATAGCAATTACATCGCCAGGTTTTAATTTGGAGTCAACTACCGCTTTCGGCAAACCTCTTCTATTTTTCCTCAAAGTACCCACCAATTGAGTGTCCTTATCGAGTAGTTCATTGGACAGCTCCAAGCTTGTATACCAATTGTCTGTTGCAAGTGCGTGACCACAGCCCAGTATATGCTCACAAAGAGACATTACCATTCTAATTATATCAATCTCTGATTCTTCATTTTCACTCAAATCAATTTTTCAAGCAATTTCATCAAAAATACCAAATATCTATAAAATTCACGTCTAAATCCTTACTATTCTCCATGTTGAATCACGAAATCAAGTCCAAGCGCAAACAGACGACTGCGGGGTGCGGGTATCCGGAGAAATGTCCGGCCTAGCGCCCCGTAACGGAAATTCACACTTTTACTATCAAGGCGCCGCATAGGTCACCGCAGTGGCCTCATGTGGTTTTTTCGAAATAATTATGAAACGCAGCTTCTAATTGAACCCTAAATTAGATATATTTTAAAATATTGATATTGCCCACCTATTTTCATCAAAAAGTTTTTTACTGATTTTTCTCATTTACACTAGGGCAGTCAACGTGTAAAGATATTTATATAGTAAGTTAAGTACTAAGTATACACTGTGACCTTTCTACATACATATCTACATTAATCAAAAATGTATAATCATGCTTTCTTAGTGTAGTGAAGGTGATTTTGAGAGAATGTGGAGCAAGTTTTTTTAGAGAAGCAGGTAAATATAAAATCCTATTATATTATAATAACTACTCATTTTGTTTTTTACAGAAATAGCTTTTGGGTGACATACAGGCATGGGGTGTATGACATAACGTCATTCTTACCTTCTCATCCTGGTGGTGAACAAATATACAATGCAGCGGGATACAGTATTGAGCCTTTTTGGAATGTGTATGGAATGCATAAAACACATGAGGTCTACGAGTTACTAGAATCATATAGAATAGGCAAGTATGCTAATAGTTCTCACTGGTAGTTCATCCTTGTGGTTCAGAAAGTACGTAAAAAAGTTGGTCTTGTGTCTGGTCTCTATAGAGGGAATGGAGTGCATACACTCATACATCATAATCCTGTACTGCAGTCTCCATAGAGATTGACTGCCATGACCGAAATTCAATCTGGATGATATCCTTTCATTTCATCCAATTCTTATTTTATAATTGAATTTCTACAAAACGAAATTATATGAATATTCTCACTGCACTGGGATGCTCAATTTGAATTTCTTCAATCCATAACGCTAATTGAATACAATAAAAAATATTTGCAAATGACATATTATTATAATGTTAAATGACATGGCATGCATTTACCACCCTTTAAAAAACCCTTTTGTCGTATCGGAATCCTCGACGTCGATATATTGATTGGCGTGCAGTTTCGTGGTCACTTGGAAGAGAAGGCCAAATTGGCCTCTAAAAGGCTTGGCGTGCTCAGCAGAGAGGGACAGTATTTCATGTTGGCATACCGCCTGCAACTTTACAATTCGCAGGTTCGGTTTTACATGGAATACCTTTCCCATCTTTGGGCTGGGGCTCCCCAGTGCCAGCTCCTTCCACTTGACCGCATCCAACGCAGAGCGGCTCGAATCGTCGATGACCGAATCCTTTTCGATCGGCTTGATTTACTAGCGCTGCGAAGAGATGTTGCATCTCTTTGCGTATTTTATCGCATGGTAATGGGTCAGACTGGTCTCTATTTCGAGACACGTTATAAAGAGCATTTAACCGCGTACAGGAATTGCAATCCCGATAAATCCCATTTTGCCAAACATCTTTTGGACACTGGACACAACCTAGCCAACGACCACTCCTTTAAAGTCTTACATACGTGTAATAAAGGGCTACGGCTGTGTGTGCTGGAACAGTTAGAGATATTAAAAAGTAATAATAATACCGTTGCATTGCTGAATGAACAAACAAATGTTACTAACTCACCTATCTTAAATATCTTCAAGCCTGCTCTCTAATAATAGAGAGCCTCGCAATATGGTCGTTTGTCACCCTCACGGTGATCGGCGATTGGTTGCGTGGTTGGAGGGTGGGCGTTGCGCGGCGGTTTGTTTTTAATTTTACAAACGGCTGCGTATGTCCAGCGGTGATTGGTCGCATGTTTTATCGCATGACGCAGTCGCTCGCTCCTTAGGTAGAGAGCGGTTGCATCATCGGTCTGTATAAAAGGCACTTGTTTTGGCTCGCCGCTCACTTAGCGGTTAGCCACCGTAGAGTCTATATCACCTGAGGATGCCTCGTGTAGAGGCGAAACACGTGTCGTATAATCGTCAGTGGTGTGTCTTGCCTAGTGTAGTGGTGTTGGGAATAGCGGTGCTGGGATTAGTGGTGACGGGGATAGTGCACGCAATTGAGGGAGGGTGGGAAGTGCTGTTCATACTAGGTAAGACACATCATTTTATTTTATAACGCGGATATTTGCGAAGTAAATTTTTCTAAAAGCTTTTATGTAATGGATTTCCGCAAAGTAACGCCTGATTCCATTAATTATTTTTGTATGTTCAATAGGCAATCTACATGAAGACGATATGGTGGACCACAGCGACGACGAGCTTTGGGCTAGGGAACCCTACCGTGACAAACGACTCATTGTCAAGACTGCCAAGCCTTTCAATGCTGAAATCCCACCGGAGTATCAGATCGCACATTTCGATACACCTAAGTATGTTCACGTTCTATGTAATTTTTTTATGTAGGTGAAATGTGGTAGTAAACTTACTTTAAGTTCTTATCGGATCTGCAATGGGATCATGGACAAATTACACTTTCGATAAAATTAGCTGTCTTATAATTTGGTCGATTACTTACTTTAATTTGGATAAGAATTTTAGTATTTAAAAACTAAAAACTATAACGTCGTTCCACTATATTCTCATACAGTTTCTATAGAAATGTTAATTTTAACAATTCGTTAAAAATAAGCGACAGTAGCTTAACTGCAAACTTGCAAAGTCGTGGTTTCGAATCAGCCATTCAATTACTGTTGTGAAGCACTCCCAACACAAGCAATTTAAGCTTACTTTGGAATTGGTTAACGGTAGTATTAATAAAGTTAGCAATACTAGCCAATCAAATTTATAGTCGCGGGATCCCTATTTGCGTTGAACAGAGACGGTGATATATTGCAGTAGTAAATGGTGGTACTTTAGTCGTAGTACATTTATAGGAGTAAGTCATTGAGGTAATATTTACTACATACTAGATCAGAGACACGAGTATCTTTTTATTACAAAGACTTAAGTAAGTTTGGGTCCGCGGGCTCTAACGCGTGTTTCAAACAACTACGTCAAGGTGTTTCTTTTAGTACGTAGTACATTTTACTTCGATGGAGTAAGGCGGCATTTTTTTTTTTTTGATATTTGTGTATTGACAGAGGTTTGAGTGGTTAGTACTTTTGTAAACAAAAACAATTTATTATATAGCGTCAAAAACCCCATTGAAGAGAGTTTTTATAAACGGGTGCAGTGGCAACAATTTCCGTTTGTTTGGTTGCAGCGAGTTGTTTTACGTGCGGCAGCACATGCCTGTTCCAGAGCTGGAGGCGGGCAGCCACCAGCTGCGCGTGGTGCTGGCGCCCACGCAGCAGGTCAGCTCGCTGTCGCTGGCGCAGCTCGCGCGGCTCCCGCGGGCGATCGTGCGCGCCGCGCTCATGTGCGCCGGGAACAGGCGCAGTGAGATGCATCAGGTCACTATTTAGAACCTATTACAGCCTATAAAAATCCACTGCTGAACATAGGCCTCTCTCCCATAGATTGCTTCATTGGTATTTGCCATAGTTGCTACGTTTGGCAGGTGAGTTGGTAACCGCAATTTTTTTTTTCAATTTTCTGTAGTAATCAGGAAAATGCTGCTACACATCTGCTGTTTCAGTTTCTCTCTGTCGACTTTTACGACACCTCCAGGGTGTACACCACTGAATATAGACCTCAACCGCATATTGCCTAAAAATGTTGCCATAAAACAATGGAAAAGTCACGTCGCAAAAGTATTTAATGTCTGCAACATAGATAAGCATAATAGATTAGCTCGAATGTATAAGAACAAAGCTCGCACAAAATGCCTGCGTGAAATAGCAGCATTTTGCTGCAATTTTTCGTATGGTTAGTGACATGAACCGGAGACTCTTTACTAATAACGAGACATTCCAACTTCATCCTCAAGAGCGATTACACATCTAGAATAGGAAAATTCATGTTTTGTTGACCAAAAATGTCTATGTTATAAAAGTGGAATGCATTTTAAGGTACCTTCAATATAACAAGCAAAAAAAGTTAATTAGCTTACCTTTATTACGAAGCTGACGAAAGACGCATAACTAATTGGGATTATAATTTCATTCATTCAAGGGGCCAAACTTTTATATAAATTCAAAAGTATTACTGGCGACTATCATCACGAAATGGATACAAAAAATTTCACAAAATGTTTGAAAGAAAAACTAATTCCAAACTTGCCGCCAAATGGCCTAGTGGTAATCGACAACGCGCCTTACCATTCGACGCAAATGAAAAAGCCTCCTAAGAATTCTTCGCGCGAATTATGTGAAATACAAAGCTGGCTCCGAAACAATAATATCATGTTCGATGATAAAATGACAAAACCAGAATTATAAGATTAATTGTTATTAGCAAGCCTCCAAAAAAATACATTGTGGAGAAATTATTCAGAGATAACGACCATGAAGTTTTACGTCTGCCACCCTACCATAGTGACCTTAATCAAATCGAATGTATGTATATGGAATTTAGTGAAGCAACGAGTGGCAGATAAAAACGTAAGTCAGTCGGAAAGAGAAATAGGAAATCAAACAAGGGAGGCCATAAAGTCAGTCACAATTTCTGACTGGAAAAAAGAGATTAGCCATGTTGAAAGATTGGAAAAAGAGTATTGGGAGACGGACTATCTATAAGAAATTGAACAAAGAGAATTAATAATTACGTTTAACAAACGACGCATAAATAATTCTCGCATGGTATAAAAGTACAATAATATAAGAATTAAAAAATGTATTTCAAGTTACTACTACGAGTATTAGCTACTACTAGCCGTGTAGTGGCGGTTAAGAATATCCACTACCCCATATCTTCCCGTGGGTGTCGTAAAAGGCGACAAAGGGAAACAGGCAGGAGATGGGCAGGAGCATCTTCCTGATAGCAGCAAAAAATAGAATAAAAAAACTACGGTTGCCAACCCGCTCGCCAACCATGGCAACTATGGCAATATACCCCCCATGAGCAATGACAATAATAAACGGCCCCCAGTCCCCAGCGGCCCCGCTATTCCTGGCTACGGTGGCGACCATAGTAACGGTGGGGCAGGGGGTGCTAAGAATCTCCGGTGAAGGTTCGGTTGCCACCTAAGACGACTCGACCTGGTAACAGTGTGTCGGCGAGATTTGCGTACCTTATACTCAGAATCACCAAACGGTATTCGCTGAAGGTCATACAGGTTTACGCACCAACCTCGGCACACCCCGATGAGGAGGTGGAGGAAATGTATGAGGATATCCCTGAGCCATGCATTCCTCCAAAACCCCCTATACAGTGTTAATGGGAGACTTCAACGCAAAACTAGGCACAAGAGAGAACGGTGAGCTGATAGTAGGGAAATTCGGAATAGGGCAACGGAACCCAAGGGGCCAGCAGCTGGCCGACTTCATGGAGAAAGAGGGACACTTTATGATCAACTCTTTCTTCCAGAAGCGGCCCCACAGGAAGTGGACCTGGTCGAGCCCCGACGATTCCACAAAAAATGAGATTGACTTCATTATGACGACCAGACGACAACTGTTCAGTGATGTCCCCGTGATCGCGAGGGTGAAAACTGGTAGCGATCACCGAATGGTTAGAGGCACACTGAACCTAAAAGTTAATATGGAGAGGTCCCGTCTAATGAAGTCAACGCTCCGTCCCCCTCGTGCTCTGTTCCAAAGTCCCGAAACCTTTCAGCTCGAGTTACAAAACCGTTTTCAGTGCCTAGAAGACTGCAATGAAGTGGATGATATGAATGACAAGCTCGTGGAAACTGTCCATGCGGTCGGAGCTTAGTTCTGCAAGACCCGCCGCAGACGAACACAAAAACTCTCCGATCACACTCTCAATCTCATGGCTGTTAGACGGGAGATGAAGCTACATTCTTCAACAGATTTGACAGCATACAGGCAACTGAACAGACAGATCTCCAAATGCATGCGGTGGGACTTACGCAACTTCAATACAGCTTGTATTGAAGAAGCGATCGAGCGGAACCAAGGCTCCAAAGTCTGTCAGAAATCTGTCTGCCAGAAAGAGCCAACTGTCAAAGCTGAAGACCGAATGTGGCAGCACCGTTTCCGGAGCACCTGAGATTTTGAGTGAGATTGAGAGGTTCTATGGGTTGTACACGTCACACGTCACACCGAGCCACACGCAAGTGTGAGTAACGATCCAAGAGCGAGTCTTATCCAACACTATTCCGAAGATATCCCGGACGTCAATCTGAGCGAGATTAGAATGCCTCTCCAGCACCTTAAAAACGGCAAGGCCCCAGGCGAGGATGGAATTACAGCGGAGCTTCTGAAAGCGGGTGGAAGACCGGTACATGAAGTCCTTCAGAGGCTCTTTACTTCCGTCCTCCATGGTGGCGTTACACCGGAGGCGTGGAGCAGAAGTGCGGTGGTCTTGTTCTTCAAGAAAGGTGACAACGCTCTCTTGAAGAACTACAGACCGATTTCCCTTCTGAGCCGTGTATACGTGCTGTTTTCGAGAGTCATTACGAATCGTCTCGCGCGCAGACTTGATGACTTCCAGCCTCCCGAACAAGCCGGTTTCCGAAAGGGCTTTAGCACTATAGACCACATACATACCCTTCGGCAAATTGTACAGAAGTCCGAGGAGTACAATTTGCCACTATGTCTGGTGTATGTGGACTATGAGAAAGCCTTTGATTCCGTCGAAATTTGGGCCGTGCTGCAGTCCCTTCAGCGGTGCCAAGTTGACTGTCGGTTTATCGAAGTGCTGAAGTGTTTGTACAGTAGAGCTACGATGGCTATCCGAGTACAGAACCAGAGTACGAAACCTATCCAATTGCAGAGAGGTGTAAGACAGGGTGATGTTATATCCCCGAAACTCTTCACCGCTGCATTGGAAGACGTTTTCAAGCTTCTGGACTGGAAAAGATACGGTATTAACATCAAAGGCGAGTACATCACTCACCTTCGATTTGCCGACGATATAGTCCTTATGGCAGGATCGCTGGAGGACCCAAGCACCATGCTCAATAGTGTCTCCCCACGAATAGGTCTTAGGATGACAATGGACAAAACAAAGATCGTGTTTAATGTCCATGTCACACCTATTCCGGTAGTTGTTGGGAGCACTAAGCTCGAAGTTGTTGAAGAGTATGTTTACCTGGGACAATAAATCCCACTAGGTAAGTCCAACTTCGACCGAGAAGTCAATCGACGGATTCAATTCGCTTGGGCAGCGTTCGGGAAACTACGACACATCTTCTCGTCAGACATACCTCAAAACCTTAAAACGAAATTGTACAATCAGTGCGTGCTGCCAGTGATGACTTACGGATCTGAGACGTGGTCCTTCACTGCTGGCCGTATGAGGAACCTCAAGATCGCTCAGCGAGCTATGGAGAGGGCTATGCTCGGGGTTTCTCTGCGTGATAAACTTAGAAATTAGTATATCCGCAGTAGAACCAGAGTAACCGACATAGCCCAACGGATTAGTAAGCTGAAGTGGCAGTGGGCCGGCCATATAGCTCGAAGAACCGACAACCGATGGGGAAGAAAGGTTCTTGAGTGGCAGCCTCGTACCGGTAGGCGAAGTGTAGGGCGACCCCCCACGAGATGGAGTGACGACCTGGTAAGACATGCAGGAAGTCGATGGATGCAGGTGGCTCAGGACCGTGCTTTTTGGCATTCCTTGGGGGAGGCCTATGTTCAGCAGTGGACTTATGAAAGGCTGTAATGATGATGATGACTATTAGCTACTACTAGCATCGATCTTACAAAATGTCACTAAAGACCAAATGTTATTTACCCCTTCCTTAAGTGAACGATCTCGCGTTCGTTTGTTTACACTTTTTCTCTATGCGTTTTGAACATACTTTAGAGTATTGTTGTATGTGTTTTGTTACTGTAATACTCAGTAGAACCATATTTTTGAAGCAGGTGAAACCAGTCAAAGGCATCAGCTGGGCGGGAGGGGCAATTAGGTTTGTATCTTTTTTTTTAATCAAATATATAAGTGACAAACATGTTAGCAGTCTATCTAAACCAATTTTAAACAAAGAAGGCCACGTAGAAGGTATCTAGATCTAGAAATAAGACGGAATGCCTCACAGCATGTAATTTCAGTGTCTCTCTACACTCTTTAGACTGGAACACAGCAGTGCACGCTATGTACTTGGCAGCAGAAATAGGTAAGAGGTCTGCCTAGTCTGAAACGGAAACCTTTAACCATCAATTACTAGTTCTTTACCCACACTAGGTATTCCTCCTCTATTGTGAAGGCGGCTAACTTACAAGGAATAAACATCCATACCGTAACAATTGTTTGTTAATACAAATAGTTTTTTCGTGCGGGATTCGTAGGGCTATAAGTAGCGGCACGAAAGTCTAGCGGTGACAGTTATTGCGTATAAGTCGCGCTGATTGGCTCCAGTCGCATTCGTGCGCATGCCCCACACGTTTCGTTCAACGCTAGACTTACGTTCCGCGACTTATACTAAGCCGTTTCATTTTATTATTTCTAACCGTGTAGTGGCGGCGTAAGAAAATTCATGGCATGATATCAAAATCTATACTTTACAGTGGGTGTGTTAAGAGGCGACAGAGGGAAACGGAAACAAGAGATGGACAACAGTATCTTCCTCATAACAACTCAAAATAATATAAACAACTGTGGATGCCAACCCCCCTGCCAAGCGTGGTAACTATGGCAATTGTTCCCCCCATTGGGGGTGATCTATACTCAACAGTACATTTTTGATTGGGTGTAATGATGATGATGAACCGTGTAGTCACGGTGTAAGATAGTAAGAGGCGACTATAGGGGAAATAACGCGAAGATTTTATACGTGATATACCCACCCTGCAGCTATATTATGGTTATAGCACGAATGGGTCGGCTCGACCGGAGAAGGACCACGCTCTCACAGAATACCAGCGTGGAATAGCAGCTCATTGCTGCTGGGTTTCTTATGGTGAGTGTAGACAACGCGAGACCCGTTTTACTGAATACGAGGTATTCCATCCTAGTACTCAGATTGACAACGCAGCTGCATTTTGATCCATAATAAGGGTTCATCATCATCATTACAGCCCTTCACAAGTCCACTGCTGAACATAGGCCTCCCCCAAGGAATGCCATAAAGCACGGTCCTGAGCCACCTACATCCATCGACTTCCTACATATCTTACCAGGTCGTCACTCCATCTAGTGACGGGACGCCCTACACGTCGTCCGCCGGTACGAGGCCGCCACTCTATATAATAGGGGACAGATGTAGATATAATATATGGACCAGAGCATCCACATATCATTAGGTGAACTGTGTTTTCGCTTGTGACCTTGATTTTATAAAAAAAACATCAGGTGGGATAGTCAAGCGCTGGCTTAGAATAGTAAAAAAACGGATTTCTCCCACCTAGTGCATCTCACTAATATGTAACACTAGCGATCCACCCCGGCTTCGCACGGGTGATTTTTGGATCTCTGCAAGAGCTTATACAATTGTGAATCTAAACCATCCAGGAAACCACTCAAACACATACCAAAGATTGCATCAGAATCGGTCGAGCCAGTTTCGAACTTTAGTGAGACTAACGGACAGCAATTGATTTTTATATATAGAGATAAGTCATTCTATTACAGCAATGCTGTTTGGAGCGGAGTCTATTTACGTGACGTCCTTCTACACTGCGGAGTAGACCCCAATGATACGGAAGGGAAGCACGTCATTGTGAGTTTTTGTTTCATGTTCACCCTTTTATTTCCTAGATGGCGTTAGGGTGTTTGAATTAAAGCAGAAGTAGTACAGTTAAAGCAGTCTTCAATGAGGGCTAATAAATCTTACACTCAGCAGATATCACTAGTTGGGACCGAGGTTAAAGGTTGAGTTTCAAAAAAATCTGTTTTTAGTAAATGTATTGTATTATACACAAATGTCTCAGTGCTCTATTCTTTAATCTTTTACACATACACAACTTTTGTTTATTTTTATTTATTCTGTTTTCCGAAATATCCGTACTTTGGTTTGTCTATTTCTATTTAATTATCTAAGTAATATAAAACATAATTAATATTTCAGAAAGGAACATTTATCTTTAGACATCTAACAAATTAGCTTTCCCTGCTATGAAATCGGCCAAATATTTCACTTCATTTCTAAGTGGCGCCACCCTGGTGGCAGAAAATCTTGCCCACGTTCAGCTCACATAAACTGAGGGATAGAGTTCTCGCTAAGCTTAAGGCCTGATTGGAGAGCGTCTAATTAAGCATTTGGCATAGCTTTGACAATAATTCAAAAGACTATTCGTTAAGCACGCTACACGTTAAAAAATAAACTTTTAATAAAATGTAAAAGTTGACTTCAAAGAAATAAAAAGAATATAATAATTTTACGTTCTGAAATCGGGTTTCTAATTCTCCTATACACTGTGGATTAAGGACATATCACAATTCCGGTAGCGAAGCTCCCATACAAGCCGAGAAGCCCGGCTTGCCCTATCAATCTGCTCAATCAATAATATTAACTAATAAAATAACTCGTAAACTGTTTTAAAGCGCTTCTTTGTTCTACACAGCCTCGTGACCTCGTAGCCTTATTATGTAACGTCAACACTTGGCAGATTGCTTTACTACGCGATACTGCTGTCATAAAAAAGGAGTTGAGTTGAGCGATTAGTTGTCTCTCTCGCACGCGTGGTCTTTTTACCGGGCTTTTGAGAAGACGATCGCTCCGTTTCTAACCTGTGGCAAAATGTTCTATAGTGAAATATAACTACGATTGTTTATATAGCAAGCAGTATGGAGATCAGAAGCCAGGCTCTCAGTGTGAAGTTGTCGAGCGTGAGGGCGTGCGTCTGCAAAGTTCACTTCACAACTTCACATTCCAATGTTTACTCTGTGTGTTTACTTGAGCGAATGAAATTCGCAATATTGAGTTGGAAATTTATACTTTTTTATAAATTTTTAGTGAAAATTGGGGATAATAGTGTTTCTTGTGATGAATTAAAGTGTGTTAAAGTGCTAATCGGCAAGGAAAAGGTAAAATCGGAAAAGAGAAAAAGTAAATTGTTATAAAACTGCTAAAAACAACAAAAACATGTCTTGGGCTTGCCCTAGTTTGGAGCCCTAGCTTCGCCACTGCACAATTCCAATGTCGGCTAAATATTTCATCTCCATTTTGCCACTCTTAGGGCTCGAATTTTTTCCCAAAATTCCCTCTATTTAATAAAAAAAGAATTATAAAAAAGCGGTTTATCATTGACGAAGATATTTTGTAACAAACATACAAAAAACATATTCGAATTGTAAACCTCATCCTTAATTTGAAGTTTGTTACAAATCAACTGTCGATCATAGCCTACCACACCATAGAAGATATTTTGTAACAAACATACAAAAAACATATTCGAATTGTAAACCTCATCCTTAATTTGAAGTTTGTTACAAATCAACTGTCGATCATAGCCTACCACACCATCTAACACACTGTCTACAATGTAGTGATATATTAATGTTTAAACTTTCAATAAACAATTTTGATAGTGTGGGCTCGAATCGAATTAATTTGAACGTCTACTCGTTCAAATTTGAGGAGCTTGTAGTAAACACTAGACCTAGATAATCTACGTTTTTGCCAGTTGACGGGGGCGGATATAGACGCGACCGGGCAGAACTTCAGCACTTCGATCCCGCTGCAGCTGGCCTTAGATCCGAATGCCCAGGTCATTCTGGCCACGCACATGAACGGGCAGCCGCTGCCACCCGACCACGGCTGCCCGCTGCGCGCCGTGGTGCCGGGCGCGCCCGCCGTGCGCAGCGTCAAGTGGCTCGGTGAGTCATTGCCGACCTTAAGTCGTTAGCAGTAAGATCGCTTTTAGTGTTTGCGATGTGTCAAACTATCAGACATTTTGTGTCCAAGGCGCTTCACTGAAGGTTGCAGATGATATATGCGATTGGCAATCTTGAGTAGTTAGTATTAAAGTTGCCTTCAGTGTTTACTATATGTTAAACTATCTTCCGTTTTGTGTCCAAGCGAGTGATTTGCTGAAGGTTGTGCGATTATCGATCTTAAGTTGTTCGCAGTAAAGTTGCTTTTAGTGTTACGATATGTCAAATTATCCGCCGTTTTGTGTCCTAGCAAATAAGTCACTGAATGTTGCAGCTGATTTGTACGATTGACGATCTTAAATTGTTAGCAGTAAGGTTGCTTTTAGCGTATATTATCAGGCCTACGATATCTCCAATAATCAGCCGCTTTGTGTCCAAACAGGTTACTCACTGATTTTTTATCTAAAATTTTGAATAATAAGGGTCCTTTTAAGGGTTCAAGAACAACCGGGTCAAGGGCGACCGCTGCATATGTGATCAACTGACATGTCGCTGTGATCTATGTGGTTTATAGGTAGGCCGCGGTTCACAGCGTCACAGTTTAAATCTCAGCTATTATGCCGGGAATTTAATACTCAATCTCACCTTTTTTTAAGACTTTTGTTTCGACTTTGCGGAAATTAATTATAGTTAAGGAACAAAATATATTTGTTACTTAGTTTGAAAAGCTCAATTGCGTGTGAAGCGAGTACACAAATACACACTCGAGTTATTCGCCCGCTAGAAAGCAGTATGAATCAAGACATTTCTACGTCATGATAGATCAAGTGACCACCTGATGTTAGACGACAGTAATACATAGCTCCATCTACGCAACGATGCAACAGTATAGCGGCTAGTGCGCCTTTTGTTCTCATTAATTTGTGCAAGAAGGCCAAGTGCGAGCCTTTTGTCTTTAGTTAAGAGCCCATCTTACTTCGACCAGTACTCTGTACACGCATACTCAAGTGCAAACCGTAATTTTTATTTATATAAGTTTTTTTTTACATAAATAGCTGATACTTTTGAACAATAATAACTTCGGCTTTCGCTTGCCCTTGTGTTATACCTAATTAAAATTTTATTGAATTTAGTCTGAGCTTTTAATTCGCAAATCTACATCAAGTAATATCTTGGCCTATAGGGAAATATACCTTCTCATTATAAACACTTCATGTGCACTTTCTATCTCTATACAATGTGAGTCTTTATAATGTGCACATTTTTTTTTATAGAATAAGGGTGACAAACGTGCACACAGTCCACCTGATGGTAAGTGGTTGCTAAGCCCATAGACATCTACATCTATCTTCGTTTGTGAATTAAAATTCAGATGCGGTGTCAGCCGTGAGGACTAAGATAGAATGCCTCTTTTCCAGTATTATAGGTCTCTGGTTCTCTACACTCATCTTACGAAACACAGCAGCATTAAGCTACTATTTACAGCAACATTAAGTTACTATTTTAGAAATAAACATTATTATTATTATTATTATTTACGCTGGTATTCTGTGAGAGCGTGGTCCTTCCCCGGTTGAGCCGACCCATCTGTGCTACAACTGTACTATTAATATAGCTGCAGCATGGCTCTGCCACGTAAAAAACATATCAAAACGAGGGAATTTATGCTCAATTTTATCGACTGAAAAAATATTTTAAAAAATCTAAATATTCTATATATTTTTTTTTATTGGAAAGGGTGACAAACGAGCACACAGTCCACCTGATTGTAAGTGGTTACTGTGACCCATAGACATCTACATCTATCCTCAATAAAGACTCAAGATGCAAATGCGTTGTCACCCGTGAGGACTAAGATGGAACGCCGCTTTGCTAGTAAAAAGGGTCTCCGGTTCTCTACACTCACCATACGAAACACAGCAGCGTTAAGCTGCTATTTTACGCTGGTTTTCTGTGAGAGCGTGGTCCTTCCCCGGTCGAGCCGACCCATTCGTGCTACAACTATACCATTCCCAAATAAGATACACCAATAACCTTCGAACCAAATAAGATACACCATTTTATTTTCACGTGGATTTTAAATAATATTAACGTTTTTAATTTTGCCTCATTCGTAGAGTGTATAACAGTGTCGGAAGAGGAGAGTTCCTCTCACTGGCACAAGAAAGATTACCGCTCGTTCAATCCTTCCACCACGTGGGAGGACGCGGACTTCGAGAGTGCACCGCCCGTCTACAGCCTGCCCGTCACCTCTGCCGTCTGCGAGCCGCGCCACGGGGACACTGTGCGCGTGCGGGACGGACATATAGAAGCCAAAGGTGAGCGAGCGAGACGCACGTATGACGGAACTGTGTACAAAGGTGAGAGGACATCCGAAGCGAATGTATGATGAGGTGACATCGTGCAAGTATGGGACGGATGAATAGAGTGACTTCTATTCATCCGTCCCATACTTACATCATCATTTCATTCTCATCATTACAGCCCTTCACAAGTCCACTGCTGAACATAGGCCTCCCCCAAGGAATGCCACAAAGCACGGTCCTGAGCCACCTGCATCCATCGACTTCCTGCATATCTTACCAAGTCGTCACTCCATCTAGTGGGGGGACGCCCTACACTTCGTCCGCCGGTACGAGGCCGCCAACCTTTTTTTCCCCATCGGTTGTCGGTTCTTCGAACTACATGGCCGGCCCATTGCCACATCTTCGAACTACATGGCTATGTTGGTCACTCTGGTTCTACTGCGGATATCCCCATTTCTAAGTTTATCACGCAGAGAAACTGCGAGCATAGCCCTCTCCATAGCTCGCTGAGCGACCTTGAGCTTCCTCATACGGCCAGCAGTGAAGGACCACGTCTCAGTTCCATAGGTCATCACTGGCAACACGCACAAGTTTTGAGGTATACCTGACGAGAAAATGTGCCGTAATTTCCCGAACACTGCCCAACCGAGTGGAATCCATCGTTTGACCTCTCGGTCGAAGTTGGACTTACCTAGTTGGACTATTTGTCCCAGGTAAACATACCCGTCAACAACTTCGAGTTTAGTGCTCCCAACAACTACCGGCATAGGTGTGACATGGACATTAAACATGATCTTTGTTTTGTCCATGTTCATCTTAAGACCTATCCGTTGGGAAACACTATTGAGGTAATTGAGAATAGTGCTTAGGTCCTCCAGCGATTCTGCCATAAGGACTATATCGTCGGCAAATCGAAGGTGAGTGATGTACTCGCCATTGATGTTAATACCGTATCCTTTCCAGTCCAGAAGCTTGAAAACGTCTTCCAATGCAGCGGTGAAGAGTTTCGGGGATATAACGTCACCCTGTCTTACACCTCTCTGCAATTGGATAGGTTTCGTACTCTGGTTCTGTACTCGGATAGCCATCGTAGCCCTACTATACAAACACTTCAGCACTTCGATATACCGACAGTCAACTTGGTATCGCTGAAGGGACTGCAGCACCGCCCAAATTTTGACGGAATCAAAGGCTTTCTCATAGTCCACATACGCCAGACATAGTGATAAATTGTACTCTTCGGACTTCTGTACAATTTGCCGAAGGGTATGTATGTGGTCTATGGTGCTAAAGCCTTTCCAGAAACCAGCCTGTTCGGGAGGCTGGAAGGCATCAAGTCTGCGTGCGAGACGATTCGTAATGACTCTCAAAAACGGCACGTAGACACGGCTCAGAAGGGAAATCGGTCTGTAGTTCTTCAAGAGAGCGTTGTCACCTTTCTTGAAGAACAAAACCACCGCACTCCTGCTCCACGCCTCCGGTGTAATGCCACCATTGAGGACGGAATTAAAGAGCTTCTGAAGGACTTCAAGTACCGGTTTTCCACCCGCTTTCAGAAGCTCTGCTGTAATTCCATCCTCGCCTGGGGCCTTGCCGTTTTTAAGGTGCTGGAGAGCCATTCTAATCTCGCTCAGACTGACGTCCGGGATATCGGAATAGTGTCGGATAAGTCTTTCTCTCGGATCGTTACTCACACTTACGTGTGGCTCCAACGATGATGTGTACAGCTGCCCATAGAACCTCTCAATCTCACTCAAAATCTCAGGTATCCCGGAAACGATGCTGCCAAACTCGGTCTTCAGCTTCGACAGTTGGCTCTTTCTGGCAGACAGATCTCTAGCAAAGACTTTGGAGCCCTGGTTCCGATCGATCGCTTCTTCAGTACGAGCAGTATTAAAGTTGTAGTGTGTTGTTCAGTTGCCTGTATGCTGTCAAATCTACTGAAGATTGCAGCTTCATATCCCGTCAAACAGCCATAAGATTAAGAGTGTGATCGGAAAGTTTTTGTGGTTCGCAAAGCACTCCTCTCCCTGGACGTCAACAAATCGAGTGGGCCTGATGGAGTTCTGAAGGTGTGTGTTCCGGAGTTGACACCGGTTTTAACGCGTTTTTTTCCGGTACTCCTACTCCCTAGGCATAGTCCCGAATTCATCGATCCCTGAAAAAGGCAACCGTTCAGATACGTCCAATTACAGGCCTATCGCTATCACCTCCTTATCCTCAAAAACAATGGAAATGATTATGAACTGCCAGCTCATGCGGTAACTTGAGGATCACCAGCTGATTAGTGACCGCCAGCACGGTTTCCATCGAGATCGCTCAGCTGGTGATCTTCTAGGTTAACTAACTCATAGATGGGCGTTGGCAGTGGAGTCCAAGGAGGAGGCGTTGGCCGTTAGTTTGGACATAGCGAAGGCTTACGATCGGGTTTGGCACAAAGCGCTTCTTTCGAAGCTTCTTTCCTATGGGCTTCCCAAGAAATTGTGCAATCGGGTCATCCGTTTTCTTGCAGATCGGAGCATCAAGGTCGTAGTAGACGATGCATGCTCCGATTACAAGCCGATTAACGCTTGTGTTCCACAAGGTTAGTAGAAAAATTAAGAGCCGCTGTGGTCTTGCATGAGGAAATAATAATAATAATAATAAGTGACTCTTATTGGGCTTCAGAAACACAAATCGACAAAGAAATCATTTCACATGTACTTAGTAATATAAACAATAAACATTTGACAACATAATTATTCTTTGACCTCTCAAAGGCCTTTAATTTCGTTTCATATGTGATAGTATTGCAAAAATTAAAGTTAGTGGGGATCAGATGACTAATACTTCATGGTTATCTTCACATTTAAAAGACAAACAATGTATTATCATTGATAAAATGGATAGAAACATTAACTCGATATCTCATTCATCAGGATATAAAATATAACGAATTCGGTTCCGCAAGGAAATATGTTAGGACCGATACTTTTTCATTTAAATATTATAATAATGACATTACGAAACATAAATGTATTCTGTGCGCTCATGATATTTCAATGGTTATAATTTGTAATACCAACAATTATCATAAAGTTGATGTTATTAATACAACTGACATACTTACAACGGCTTCACATAAGTAATTTGAAAATGAGATTAGTTTTAGATAGATCTTTTGTATATATACAATTCAATAAAGAAGAACGGTCACACCCCATAGAAAAAAAAACCCAGACCCGACAGAACCGAAACATATCTCAGTTTTTTTGTTATTTTTTATATAGTTAAATTATATATTTTTTTATATTCGAAATCAATGGCTAACACCAAAATAATGCCTTATGTTTTTGTTCAGAAGATACACAAAAAAGAAAATACAAAATGCTTATTTACCTACAAAATTCGTAAATGTCTGTAACTAAATGACGATAAAATAGATATGGGATGTATCGAGGTGACCTGGAGATGTAGCTGGATTATGTAATTTTGTAACTCCTAGTACGACAATCAACTTAGGATTCATTAAAATCATTGTATTCGATGATTCATTACACATTAGAGATTTAGGTACCTATCATTGGGATTCCATGATCTATAACAAAAAAATAAATAAAACCAATATGTCGAAATAAAGTTTTATTGAATTTCTTTGTCCCATAATCCATACCCAGTACGGGGCGGTCAGACCGATGTCTAGCCCACCCTAAATAATAGACAACACTAATGAGGTGTGAGCAACTTCCCAATGTCCTTTTACCATAGTAGCAGCAATATTTTGTTATTGTGTTTACACCATTTATATTCTCATCAAACATAATATAATTGTAATACATTTTTGTCGTAACGTGTCGTGAATGAATCCGGCACCTGACTAAAGTATTATTGTTTCTGCCCTTTACTGCCGCTGGATGTCTATCATTTCGCTGGATATATCCATACCCGTGATTTTCAAATGCTCACTGCAGTACGACCGTGCTAATGTCATGTGATAATATAATGAATCCAAGTTGATTGTTGTACTAGAAGTTTAAAAATTACATAATCCAGCTGCATCTCCAGGTCACCTCCATACATCCCATAGCTATTTTATCGTCATTTAGTTACATACGTTTACGAATTTTGTAGATAATTAGGCATTTTGTATTTTTTTTTTCTGTGTATCGCCTGCACAAAAACGTAAGAGGCAATATTTTGGTGTTAGCCATTGATTTTGAATATAAAAAATATATAATTTAACTGTATAAAAAATAACAAAAAAACTGAGATATGTCTCCTTTCTGTCGGGTCTGGATTACAGATGACCGTTCTTCTTTATCAATGCAAATCATAATATTAAGTTAAAACACCTTTAGTTGTACATACCAAATTTCTGGGAGTGACGTTAGATGACGATATACATAAATTGAAAAGATCAAAAGATAACGTATGCAGAAAAAAAAAGAAGTTTGTGATAGCACGGGATCGTCCGGTATTTATGATATTAATCTTTATTGAGTCGTGTAATAACGACAGGAACGATGTGCGAGTGAGATGGCATGATAAGCGCCTTTATTCAAGAGACATGTGTTTACCCGCGTGCCTGTACGTAGGATATGCGTACTCCGGGGGCGGGGCCCGTGTGCTACGCGTGGACGTGAGCGGCGACCGCGGCGTCAGCTGGCGCACCGCCACCCTGCAGCAGGACCACGCGCCGCCGCGCACGCACTACGCCTGGACGCTGTGGACTGCGCGCCTGCCTGTACCCGCGCACTGCGACCAGGTACACTCGCACGCACTGCGCCTGGACGCTGTGGACTGCGCGCCTGCCTGTACCCGCGCACTGCGACCAGGTACACTCGCACGCACTGCGACCAGGTACACTCGCACGCACTGCGCCTGGACGCTGTGGACTGCGCGCCTGCCTGTACCCGCGCACTGCGACCAGGTACACTCGCACGCACTGCGCCTGGACGCTGTGGACTGCGCGCCTGCCTGTACCCGCGCACTGCGACCAGGTACACTCGCACGCACTGCGCCTGGACGCTGTGGACTGCGCGCCTGCCTGTACCCGCGCACTGCGACCAGGTACACTCGCACGCACTGCGCCTGGACGCTGTGGACTGCGCGCCTGCCTGTACCCGCGCACTGCGACCAGGTACACTCGCACGCACTGCGCCTGGACGCTGTGGACTGCGCGCCTGCCTGTACCCGCGCACTGCGACCAGGTACACTCGCACGCACTGCGACCAGGTACACTCGCACGCACTGCGCCTGGACGCTGTGGACTGCGCGCCTGCCTGTACCCGCGCACTGCGACCAGGTACACTCGCACGCACTACGCCTGGACGCTGTGGACTGCGCGCCTGCCTGTACCCGCGCACTGCGACCAGGTACACTCGCACGCACTGCGCCTGGACGCTGTGGACTGCGCGCCTGCCTGTACCCGCGCACTGCGACCAGGTACACTCGCACGCACTGCGACCAGGTACACTCGCACGCACTGCGCCTGGACGCTGTGGACTGCGCGCCTGCCTGTACCCGCGCACTGCGACCAGGTACACTCGCACGCACTGCGCCTGGACGCTGTGGACTGCGCGCCTGCCTGTACCCGCGCACTGCGACCAGGTACACTCGCACGCACTGCGCCTGGACGCTGTGGACTGCGCGCCTGCCTGTACCCGCGCACTGCGACCAGGTACACTCGCACGCACTGCGCCTGGACGCTGTGGACTGCGCGCCTGCCTGTACCCGCGCACTGCGACCAGGTACACTCGCACGCACTGCGACCAGGTACACTCGCACGCACTGCGCCTGGACGCTGTGGACTGCGCGCCTGCCTGTACCCGCGCACTGCGACCAGGTACACTCGCACGCACTGCGACCAGGTACACTCGCACGCACTGCGCCTGGACGCTGTGGACTGCGCGCCTGCCTGTACCCGCGCACTGCGACCAGGTACACTCGCACGCACTGCGCCTGGACGCTGTGGACTGCGCGCCTGCCTGTACCCGCGCACTGCGACCAGGTACACTCGCACGCACTGCGCCTGGACGCTGTGGACTGCGCGCCTGCCTGTACCCGCGCACTGCGACCAGGTACACTCGCACGCACTGCGCCTGGACGCTGTGGACTGCGCGCCTGCCTGTACCCGCGCACTGCGACCAGGTACACTCGCACGCACTGCGCCTGGACGCTGTGGACTGCGCGCCTGCCTGTACCCGCGCACTGCGACCAGGTACACTCGCACGCACTGCGCCTGGACGCTGTGGACTGCGCGCCTGCCTGTACCCGCGCACTGCGACCAGGTACACTCGCACGCACTGCGCCTGGACGCTGTGGACTGCGCGCCTGCCTGTACCCGCGCACTGCGACCAGGTACACTCGCACGCACTGCGCCTGGACGCTGTGGACTGCGCGCCTGCCTGTACCCGCGCACTGCGACCAGGTACACTCGCACGCACTGCGCCTGGACGCTGTGGACTGCGCGCCTGCCTGTACCCGCGCACTGCGACCAGGTACACTCGCACGCACTGCGACCAGGTACACTCGCACGCACTGCGCCTGGACGCTGTGGACTGCGCGCCTGCCTGTACCCGCGCACTGCGACCAGGTACACTCGCACGCACTGCGACCAGGTACACTCGCACGCACTGCGCCTGGACGCTGTGGACTGCGCGCCTGCCTGTACCCGCGCACTGCGACCAGGTACACTCGCACGCACTGCGACCAGGTACACTCGCACGCACTGCGCCTGGACGCTGTGGACTGCGCGCCTGCCTGTACCCGCGCACTGCGACCAGGTACACTCGCACGCACTGCGACCAGGTACACTCGCACGCACTGCGCCTGGACGCTGTGGACTGCGCGCCTGCCTGTACCCGCGCACTGCGACCAGGTACACTCGCACGCACTGCGACCAGGTACACTCGCACGCACTGCGCCTGGACGCTGTGGACTGCGCGCCTGCCTGTACCCGCGCACTGCGACCAGGTACACTCGCACGCACTGCGACCAGGTACACTCGCACGCACTGCGCCTGGACGCTGTGGACTGCGCGCCTGCCTGTACCCGCGCACTGCGACCAGGTACACTCGCACGCACTGCGACCAGGTACACTCGCACGCACTGCGCCTGGACGCTGTGGACTGCGCGCCTGCCTGTACCCGCGCACTGCGACCAGGTACACTCGCACGCACTGCGCCTGGACGCTGTGGACTGCGCGCCTGCCTGTACCCGCGCACTGCGACCAGGTACACTCGCACGCACTGCGCCTGGACGCTGTGGACTGCGCGCCTGCCTGTACCCGCGCACTGCGACCAGGTACACTCGCACGCACTGCGCCTGGACGCTGTGGACTGCGCGCCTGCCTGTACCCGCGCACTGCGACCAGGTACACTCGCACGCACTGCGCCTGGACGCTGTGGACTGCGCGCCTGCCTGTACCCGCGCACTGCGACCAGGTACACTCGCACGCACTGCGCCTGGACGCTGTGGACTGCGCGCCTGCCTGTACCCGCGCACTGCGACCAGGTACACTCGCACGCACTGCGCCTGGACGCTGTGGACTGCGCGCCTGCCTGTACCCGCGCACTGCGACCAGGTACACTCGCACGCACTGCGACCAGGTACACTCGCACGCACTGCGCCTGGACGCTGTGGACTGCGCGCCTGCCTGTACCCGCGCACTGCGACCAGGTACACTCGCACGCACTGCGCCTGGACGCTGTGGACTGCGCGCCTGCCTGTACCCGCGCACTGCGACCAGGTACACTCGCACGCACTGCGACCAGGTACACTCGCACGCACTGCGCCTGGACGCTGTGGACTGCGCGCCTGCCTGTACCCGCGCACTGCGACCAGGTACACTCGCACGCACTGCGACCAGGTACACTCGCACGCACTGCGCCTGGACGCTGTGGACTGCGCGCCTGCCTGTACCCGCGCACTGCGACCAGGTACACTCGCACGCACTGCGCCTGGACGCTGTGGACTGCGCGCCTGCCTGTACCCGCGCACTGCGACCAGGTACACTCGCACGCACTGCGACCAGGTACACTCGCACGCACTGCGCCTGGACGCTGTGGACTGCGCGCCTGCCTGTACCCGCGCACTGCGACCAGGTACACTCGCACGCACTGCGACCAGGTACACTCGCACGCACTGCGCCTGGACGCTGTGGACTGCGCGCCTGCCTGTACCCGCGCACTGCGACCAGGTACACTCGCACGCACTGCGACCAGGTACACTCGCACGCACTGCGCCTGGACGCTGTGGACTGCGCGCCTGCCTGTACCCGCGCACTGCGACCAGGTACACTCGCACGCACTGCGACCAGGTACACTCGCACGCACTACGCCTGGACGCTGTGGACTGCGCGCCTGCCTGTACCCGCGCACTGCGACCAGGTACACTCGCACGCACTGCGCCTGGACGCTGTGGACTGCGCGCCTGCCTGTACCCGCGCACTGCGACCAGGTACACTCGCACGCACTGCGCCTGGACGCTGTGGACTGCGCGCCTGCCTGTACCCGCGCACTGCGACCAGGTACACTCGCACGCACTGCGACCAGGTACACTCGCACGCACTGCGCCTGGACGCTGTGGACTGCGCGCCTGCCTGTACCCGCGCACTGCGACCAGGTACACTCGCACGCACTGCGACCAGGTACACTCGCACGCACTGCGCCTGGACGCTGTGGACTGCGCGCCTGCCTGTACCCGCGCACTGCGACCAGGTACACTCGCACGCACTGCGACCAGGTACACTCGCACGCACTACGCCTGGACGCTGTGGACTGCGCGCCTGCCTGTACCCGCGCACTGCGACCAGGTACACTCGCACGCACTGCGCCTGGACGCTGTGGACTGCGCGCCTGCCTGTACCCGCGCACTGCGACCAGGTACACTCGCACGCACTGCGCCTGGACGCTGTGGACTGCGCGCCTGCCTGTACCCGCGCACTGCGACCAGGTACACTCGCACGCACTGCGACCAGGTACACTCGCACGCACTGCGCCTGGACGCTGTGGACTGCGCGCCTGCCTGTACCCGCGCACTGCGACCAGGTACACTCGCACGCACTGCGACCAGGTACACTCGCACGCACTGCGCCTGGACGCTGTGGACTGCGCGCCTGCCTGTACCCGCGCACTGCGACCAGGTACACTCGCACGCACTGCGACCAGGTACACTCGCACGCACTGCGCCTGGACGCTGTGGACTGCGCGCCTGCCTGTACCCGCGCACTGCGACCAGGTACACTCGCACGCACTGCGCCTGGACGCTGTGGACTGCGCGCCTGCCTGTACCCGCGCACTGCGACCAGGTACACTCGCACGCACTGCGACCAGGTACACTCGCACGCACTGCGCCTGGACGCTGTGGACTGCGCGCCTGCCTGTACCCGCGCACTGCGACCAGGTACACTCGCACGCACTGCGCCTGGACGCTGTGGACTGCGCGCCTGCCTGTACCCGCGCACTGCGACCAGGTACACTCGCACGCACTGCGCCTGGACGCTGTGGACTGCGCGCCTGCCTGTACCCGCGCACTGCGACCAGGTACACTCGCACGCACTGCGACCAGGTACACTCGCACGCACTGCGCCTGGACGCTGTGGACTGCGCGCCTGCCTGTACCCGCGCACTGCGACCAGGTACACTCGCACGCACTGCGACCAGGTACACTCGCACGCACTGCGCCTGGACGCTGTGGACTGCGCGCCTGCCTGTACCCGCGCACTGCGACCAGGTACACTCGCACGCACTGCGACCAGGTACACTCGCACGCACTGCGCCTGGACGCTGTGGACTGCGCGCCTGCCTGTACCCGCGCACTGCGACCAGGTACACTCGCACGCACTGCGCCTGGACGCTGTGGACTGCGCGCCTGCCTGTACCCGCGCACTGCGACCAGGTACACTCGCACGCACTGCGACCAGGTACACTCGCACGCACTGCGCCTGGACGCTGTGGACTGCGCGCCTGCCTGTACCCGCGCACTGCGACCAGGTACACTCGCACGCACTGCGACCAGGTACACTCGCACGCACTGCGCCTGGACGCTGTGGACTGCGCGCCTGCCTGTACCCGCGCACTGCGACCAGGTACACTCGCACGCACTGCGCCTGGACGCTGTGGACTGCGCGCCTGCCTGTACCCGCGCACTGCGACCAGGTACACTCGCACGCACTGCGACCAGGTACACTCGCACGCACTGCGCCTGGACGCTGTGGACTGCGCGCCTGCCTGTACCCGCGCACTGCGACCAGGTACACTCGCACGCACTGCGACCAGGTACACTCGCACGCACTGCGCCTGGACGCTGTGGACTGCGCGCCTGCCTGTACCCGCGCACTGCGACCAGGTACACTCGCACGCACTGCGCCTGGACGCTGTGGACTGCGCGCCTGCCTGTACCCGCGCACTGCGACCAGGTACACTCGCACGCACTGCGCCTGGACGCTGTGGACTGCGCGCCTGCCTGTACCCGCGCACTGCGACCAGGTACACTCGCACGCACTGCGCCTGGACGCTGTGGACTGCGCGCCTGCCTGTACCCGCGCACTGCGACCAGGTACACTCGCACGCACTGCGCCTGGACGCTGTGGACTGCGCGCCTGCCTGTACCCGCGCACTGCGACCAGGTACACTCGCACGCACTGCGACCAGGTACACTCGCACGCACTGCGCCTGGACGCTGTGGACTGCGCGCCTGCCTGTACCCGCGCACTGCGACCAGGTACACTCGCACGCACTGCGACCAGGTACACTCGCACGCACTGCGCCTGGACGCTGTGGACTGCGCGCCTGCCTGTACCCGCGCACTGCGACCAGGTACACTCGCACGCACTGCGACCAGGTACACTCGCACGCACTGCGCCTGGACGCTGTGGACTGCGCGCCTGCCTGTACCCGCGCACTGCGACCAGGTACACTCGCACGCACTGCGCCTGGACGCTGTGGACTGCGCGCCTGCCTGTACCCGCGCACTGCGACCAGGTACACTCGCACGCACTGCGACCAGGTACACTCGCACGCACTGCGCCTGGACGCTGTGGACTGCGCGCCTGCCTGTACCCGCGCACTGCGACCAGGTACACTCGCACGCACTGCGACCAGGTACACTCGCACGCACTGCGCCTGGACGCTGTGGACTGCGCGCCTGCCTGTACCCGCGCACTGCGACCAGGTACACTCGCACGCACTGCGCCTGGACGCTGTGGACTGCGCGCCTGCCTGTACCCGCGCACTGCGACCAGGTACACTCGCACGCACTGCGCCTGGACGCTGTGGACTGCGCGCCTGCCTGTACCCGCGCACTGCGACCAGGTACACTCGCACGCACTGCGACCAGGTACACTCGCACGCACTGCGCCTGGACGCTGTGGACTGCGCGCCTGCCTGTACCCGCGCACTGCGACCAGGTACACTCGCACGCACTGCGCCTGGACGCTGTGGACTGCGCGCCTGCCTGTACCCGCGCACTGCGACCAGGTACACTCGCACGCACTGCGCCTGGACGCTGTGGACTGCGCGCCTGCCTGTACCCGCGCACTGCGACCAGGTACACTCGCACGCACTGCGCCTGGACGCTGTGGACTGCGCGCCTGCCTGTACCCGCGCACTGCGACCAGGTACACTCGCACGCACTGCGCCTGGACGCTGTGGACTGCGCGCCTGCCTGTACCCGCGCACTGCGACCAGGTACACTCGCACGCACTGCGCCTGGACGCTGTGGACTGCGCGCCTGCCTGTACCCGCGCACTGCGACCAGGTACACTCGCACGCACTGCGCCTGGACGCTGTGGACTGCGCGCCTGCCTGTACCCGCGCACTGCGACCAGGTACACTCGCACGCACTGCGACCAGGTACACTCGCACGCACTGCGCCTGGACGCTGTGGACTGCGCGCCTGCCTGTACCCGCGCACTGCGACCAGGTACACTCGCACGCACTGCGACCAGGTACACTCGCACGCACTGCGACCAGGTACACTCGCACGCACTGCGACCAGGTACACTCGCACGCACTGCGACCAGGTACACTCGCACGCACTGCGACCAGGTACACTCGCACGCACTGCGACCAGGTACACTCGCACGCACTGCGACCAGGTACACTCGCACGCACTGCGACCAGGTACACTCGCACGCACTGCGACCAGGTACACTCGCACGCACTGCGACCAGGTACACTCGCACGCACTGCGACCAGGTACACTCGCACGCACTGCGACCAGGTACACTCGCACGCACTGCGACCAGGTACACTCGCACGCACTGCGACCAGGTACACTCGCACGCACTGCGACCAGGTACACTTTCATTACGCGCGTCTCAAATGTCTTGTTATTTTAACAAATCCATGGAATCCTTATGCGGACAAATGCCACAAGAAGCGCCGCTATACAACCTAAAACCCGTCATTCTAGACAAGATCGTGGAAATGCATAGGCAAAAATTATATACATACAATATTACAAATGTATTAGTAATAGACTTTCATAAATCTATTTTTTACTGATGACCTGCCTCATTGGATCTGAGTACGATTATCAAAATCGCAGCAGAAGTACGTTATGAGGGCAACCACGAATTTTTCTGCCAACAGGGCGGCGCTAGTAGAAAGTGGGGTATAATATTTGACGACGTTGAGATGTCATTTTTTCACAAACCACTAACAAACAACCTTCAACTATCAATTACCCAGCGAAAACCCAAAAAAAGCCATGCACGCGCCTACGTATCACGAGACTCTCACAAACACTGCCGAAGGTGTTTATGTCGGTCACTATAACCGGACACAGTTTATTAAAAATGCATAATAAGCGACATGTCACTATAAACGAAGTCATTATATCCGACTTTGTTATAAAGAATTTTATGTGAAAACCAAACTTCGCTGTGTAATTAATTCATAATAAGGGGTTGGTCAATATAGGCGGAGTCATAATAAACTGATTCTACTGTAAACCAAACCACAGATATACATAAAAGTAGAAAAATTTAAAAAAGGTTAAAAATGTGCAAAAAATTAAAGAGCAAACCACTGACTCATTGTTTTGTGTATTAATATAATACTCTAGAAACTGATAAACTTTTATTGAAAACTAACTTCTCAATCAAATTACATTGTGTAACAAAAAACTTTACCTCAGTGTCAACTAGCGACCTCTGTAAGCAGAAAATTATTACCCGCACTGAAACATTGAATGCAACATTGCATTGATGGATTTATGTCCTCACCTATCCAGATGGAGATATGGGTGAAAGCGACTGACAGCAACTTCAACACGCAGCCGGAAAACTTCGACCACATTTGGAACATACGGGGGATACTCAGCAACGCTTATCATAAAATTAAAATTCGCCTACAGCATTAACGTGACAACACTTGCAATAGGACAGGCAAACAAGTCGATGAGGGCATCTACGACTTTTACTGCCACTAGAGCGACGCCATTAGAAATGAGGTGAAATATTTGACAGATTGCATAGTGGGGGAAGTTAATTTGCTAGAAAAGTGTAGAGTTAATGTTTCTTTCTGAAATATTAGTAATATTAAATATAAATTAGATTAGAAATGGATAAACCAAACAACGGTATTTGGAACTAAAAAAAATGACTTTCAATAAGTATTATATAATAATCTACATTGGATAAAAATCATTGTATTCTATTCTACGAATATACGTAAAAGTAGAAGGAAAAATGTGTAAAAATTAAATAATACAGCACTTGGTCATTGTTTTGTGTTGTATGTATACACTAGAAATCGAAAAACTTACAATTAAGTCACATTTTTTCAAAGATTATGGCACCGTGTGTCCTTGTTCCCTTCACCTTAATCCCAACTAGCGACATCTGGTGAGCGTAAGATAATTAGCCCTCGTTGAAATACTCTATCTGTTAAAATGAAACTATTTGTGATGGAAATTGCAAATAGGTAGTTGGAAAAAAAGTAAATGATTACAGTTTTCTTGTAATCGAATTAGTTAGTTAGCAAGATAAGTTTATCTATAAAATTATTTTGAATAAAGTAACACGTTTTTCTGTTACTTATTGGGATATTTTTAAATAATAGTAATCCAAATTTAATTTTAAAAGATAAACCGATCTAGTGCTCAATGAAAAAATTCAAATTATATAATGATGAAGTTATTTACTCGCATAACATTTTATATTTATTTTATTTTTGTACTTTTCCTTTCTTCAATTTTAGTAGTATTTATTTTTTATAAATGTTTATTTTTAAACAAAACAAGGCACCAAAAATTGTTTTGTAGGCTGTAATATATAAATGTTTTTGCAATTATTGTTAACCTACTTCAAAAACGAAGGAGATTATGAAATGAAATGTATTTTATAGTTGTTTGTAAGATGATGTCAGCGAGGCAAGTTTTAGCAGATTTTTTTTTTCACTTACCTAACTTTACTCGCCTCGAGCTAAGCTTTGAACCTAGGGCTGCGTCAATGGTTATAAAGAACGTTATATTAACAAATAGGATTCCTCTGTTTTTTAACTGATATACTCTTCAATGTACTCAATATTTCTTAATGTTATAAATGAAATATTCTAGAATAAATAAGATATAGAAGAATAACGTGGAATATCTTGTATCACGCAATATTATGTTAAAGAAAATTTAAAGCAATTTTCCATTTTTGTTAAACAAAATGTCTATTATAACCAACATAGCCTAGTGAATTTTAAATGTTATCAAGTAGTGCTACATCCACACTGTTACTTATTCCTAGTTCTGTCATATAATCCAGTTTTATTTACTCAATAAAATATTTAATTAAATTAGAATTTCATTTCCATTCAACGTTAGAAAGAGAAAGTATATTTATTTATAACAATGAAATGCAAACAAACATAATACTATTTAACAGAACTTAAAACTATTTATTGCCACGTTTTTATTAACTCGCATTTATGTATGTTTGTTCGGGTGGAATTTAGTAAATGATTTTAAACTAACTTCCCCATGAGCTAGAGACTTGATATTCTTAACATAGCTCGGAATCAGATGACAATGTAAGAATATGAAAAAAAAACTAAGTTAAAAACAAATGTTATTGCTTATTTTTTATAAAATGAAAGTGACAAGCACAGTAAACAACACTTGTGAAGTGTAGTTAAAGTAGACTGATGCGATGTGCAATGTCCGCAGATTTGGGTAAGAAGGTGGTACCTACCCAGACTGACTTTTAAGAACAAAAGGAGTCCTAACCTCCAGACTGCTTAAAGTTGAGTGCCTGCACCTACAGTCATGCAAGTCGTCACTTCATCTAGTGAAGGGCCCGCCCTACACTTCGCTTACTGGTACGAAGCCGGCACTCGTTTTTAACGTCTTTTTCCCATCGCTTGCCTGAGTTGGTTCTGATGTTAATTCTTTGAGCTATAAGGTTGGCTTTGTGGCGGGTAGAAGGAAAATGGGAGATCTCCCGCCGGGCAAGGTGTTCTCCCCGGGGGGCGGCCTACGCTCCGAGTGGTAGTTCGGGGCTATTCTATATATATTGCTTTAATTTCGGAACTTTTGTTAGCGCGATTCATAATTCATTTATTGATTTAGGCTTGGATGTGTTTCGCTTGTGGCGCGACGACAGCGCCGTTACATCACCCTCCTGCTCAGACCGCAGGTCGATAGTGCAGTTCGATTGCCGGTGGGGAATGCATGCTGTGTGCGTAATGTCTAGTGACGCCGGTGCAAACGATATCATCATCATCATTACAGCCCTTCACAAGTCCACTGCTGAACATAGGCCTCCCCCAAGGAATGCCACAAAGCACGGTCCTGAGCCACCTGCATCCATCGACTTCCTGTATATCTTACCAGGTCGTCACTCCATCTAGTGGGGGGACGCCCAACACTTCGCCTGCCGGTACGAGGCTGCCACTCGAGAACCTTGCTTCCCCATCGGTTGTCGGTTCTTCGAGCTATATGGCCGGCCCATTGCCACTTCAGCTTACTAATCCGTTGGGCTATGTCGGCCACTCTGGTTCTACTGTGGATATACTCATTTCCGAGTTTATCACGCAGAGAAACTCTGAGCATAGCTCTCTCCATAGCTCGCTGAGCGACCTTGAGCTTCCTCATCCGGCCAGCAGTGAAGGACCATGTCTCAGTTCCGTATGTCATCACTGGCAACACGCACTGGTTGTACAGTCTCGTTTTCAAATTTTGAGGTATATCTGACGAGAAGATGTGCCGTAATTTCCCGAACGCTGCCCAACCGAGTTGAATCCGTCGATTGACGTCATATGACGTCATCCTGTCTTACACCTCTCTGCAATTGGATAGGTTTCGTACTCTGGTTCTGTACTCGGATAGCCATCGTAGCCCTACTGTACAAGCACTTCAGCACTTCGATATACCGACAGTGGCACCGCTGAAGGGACTGCAGCACCGCCCAAATTTCGACGGAATCAAAGGCTTTCTCATAGTCCACATACGCCAGACATAGTGGCAAATTGTACTCCTCTGACTTTTATACAATTTGCCGAAGGGTATGTATGTGGTCTATGGTGCTAAATTCTTTTCGGAAACCGGCTTGTTCGGGAGGCTGGAAGTCGTCAAGTCTGCGCGCGAGACGTTTCGTAATGACTCTCGAAAACAGCACGTAGAAGCGGCTCAGAAACGAAATCGGTCTGTAGTTCTTCAAGAGAGCGTTGTTGCCTTTCTTGAAGAACAAGACCACCGCACTTCTGCTCCACGCCTCCGGTGTAATGCCACCATGGAGGACGGAATTAAAGAGCTTCTGAAGGACTTCAAGTACCGGTTTTCCACCCGCTTTCAGAAGCTCCGCTGTAATTCCATCCTCGCTTGGGGCCTTGCTGTTTTTAAGGTGCTGGAGAGCCATTCTAATCTCGCTCAGACTGACGTCCGGGATATCATCGGAATAATGTCGGATAAGACTCGCTCTTGGATTGTTACTCACACTCGCGTGTGGCTCCAACGATGACGTGTACAGCTGCCCATAGGACCTCTCAATATGACTCAAAATCTCAAGTGCCCCGGAAACTATGCTGCCACATTCTGCCTTCAGCTTTGACAGTTGGCTCTTTCTGGCAGACAGATCTCTGGCAAAGACTTTGGAGCCTTGGTTCCGCTCGATCGCTTCATCAATACGAGCTGTATTGAAGTTGCGTAAGTCCCGCCGCATACATTTGGAGATCTGTCTGTTCAGAGTTCATCATAAAGAGTCCCTCTTTCTCCATGAAGTCGGTCAGCTGCTGGCCCCTTGGGTTGCGTTGCCCTATTCCAAATTTCCCTACTTTCAGCTCACCATTCTCTCTTGTGCCTAGTTTTGCATTGTAGTCTCCCATTAACATCGTATATTGGGTTTTGGAGGAATGCATGGCTCTAAAGATATCCTCATACATTTCCTCCACCTCCTCATCAGGGTGTGCCGGGGTTGGTGCGTAAACCTGTATGACCTTCAGCGAATACCGTTTGGTGATTCTGAGTATAAGGTCAACAACCCTCGTCAACACACTCAATCTTTACAACGTTGTTAATGAAAGACTTGTGGACGATAAATCCGACACCTCCTTGGGACAGATGGTCGCCCTCCCGGTAAGTTGCAGGATTCGAGGATTACCGTTTCCTACCCCTCTCTTCGGACTTCGGATAATCCTATAATATGCCAGCGTAACTTGTCTATCTCTTCTTCCAGCTCCACAATCTTCTCGTCAGTCCTCAGGATGCGTGCGTTGTATGTTGCCAGGTCGAGTCGTCGTAGGTGGCAACCGAACCTCCACCGGAGATTCTTAGCACCCCCTGCCCCGCCGTTAGCATGGTCGCCACCGTAGCCAGAAATAGCGGGGCCGCCGGGGACTGGGGGCCGTCTCTTAGTAACTTTATCCATTTGGGGGGTGTTTGCCATAGTTGCCACGCTTGGCGAGCGGATTGGCAACCGCAGTTTTTTTATTGTATTTTTGCTGTTATCAGGAAGATGCTGCTGCCCATCTCCTGCCTGTTTCCCTTTGTCGCCTTTTACGACACCCACGGGAAGATATGGGCTAGTGGATATTCTTAACCGCCACTACACGGCAAGCAAACGATGCAAACGATACGCCAATGTATAATGCATGCCGTACTACGCACTTGCAAGTGATGGCGGTGAGTACGATGAGCCGGAGTAAGTGCCAGGGATTGCTTTGTAGTCTGCGGTGAGTCGAGAAGAAGGCAAGTAATCTGCGAGAGTGCCGTGAAGCAGAGGCGAGCAGTAAGAGCCGTGCCAAACACTGTAGCGCAGAGAGTAGCTTAAAGGAACAGGAAGCAGTTCCAGTGCTGCGATGAACCTTTGTAAAGCTAGATGGCTTGCAGAATGTGAAGACTGCAGACAATATCTGCTCGGGAGCAAATGAATGGGGTACTTGAGGACGATGACGAAGGTTTTGAAGTCGTAGTTTCCGAAGGTTGTTGGTTGCGTGTTGATATCACGTTGGTTGGTCACCAGTGTAGCCGGTGGAAGGAAAATGGTAGATCTTCCGCCGGGCAAGGTGTTCTGCCCGGGGAGCGTCCAACTCTTCAAGTGGCAGTTCGAAGCTATCCTATATATTGCTTTAATTTCGGAACTTTTGTTAGCGCGATTTAGGCTTCGATGTGTTTCGCTTGTGGCGCGACGACAGCGCCGCCACAGCTTAATACTTCCATTTCAACTCACCGATCCATTCGGCTATGTCTGCTCTCGTTTTCTTTATAGAATACAGATATATATTAACATATATAACTTATATATTAACAGTGGTAGAGCCAGGCGGCAACTTTTGCTGTCGCATGGATGGGCCGGCTCGAACCGGGGTGGTACCACGACCTCACAGAATACCAGCGTGAAGTAGAGGTTTACCTCTGCGTTTCGCTTGGTGAGTGCAGGTGGCCGGAGGCCCTTTTTACTGGAAATGAGGCATTCCGTCCTAGTCCTCACGGGTGAAAACGCATCTGCATTTTGACCTGTAACAGAGGATAGATGTAGATGTCTATGGGCCGCAGCGACCACTTACCATCAGGTGGACTGTGTGCTCGTTTTTCACCCTTATCCTATAAAAAAAAATGACAAACGAACCTACAGTCTACCCAATGATAATAATGCTTTGGCTCATAGACATCTACATTTATCCTCGATTAAGAATCAAAACGCAGATGCCTTGTCACCCCTGAGGAGTAACTAAGATGGAAAGCCTCGTTTCCAGTAAAGAGGGTCTTCGTTTCTTTACACTCACCATAGGAAACATCAGCGATATGCTGTCATTTTACGCTGGTATTCTGTGAAAGCGTGCCTCTACCACGTTTGCAGAGATCTGCATTAAATTCGATAAATTCGTATATCACCGATCATATAGCCCTACCAATAACTTGTTGAGCGACTAAACTTCCTCATACGGCGAGCTGTGATGAAGGACCACTTATCGATTCAACCTTATACTTAATTTAAAAATTATAACCTTTAGATTGATGCTTGTAAACAAAATGAGGTAAAGATTTCATGTACTTTGTGTAAGCTTGTGTTCACACGCGGAACGAAGAGGGTGTGAAGTCTCATTCACGTTAGTCTAGCCTAATGGAGCTCAACACTACTCCACGTGGTTGTCGACGTTACGATTCTCTAATCACAGAGCCAAGCTTTGACAGTGACACCAAATCTGTACTTAAATAAGGATAATATTTGGTTCTTCATCATCTCATCAATATTGCAATAACAGACGTCTTGAACCTTAGACACTGCTCGGGCCCTAGGTCTGAACTGTATATCTTAGTCGTTCCTCAAAATATGGTAAGTTGAAGAGGTATAGTAAATGTCTCCGTATTTAGGGGGATACTTCGGCTTAAACTTCGGTATATACTTCTTGTTTCTATAGTTACCATCGGTAGATGTCACTAAAGTTAAAGTCGATGTTGTCAAAAGGGCCCCCGTAAAATTTGCCGTTGTCACAATTCTTTGCAGTTTATCAAACTCAACATTTAGACGCGGTTCCTGGTCAGGTTATAGTACTTTACTTCTGGGAATATTAGGCATGAGTTTCACAAGAATTCCTTTCGAAATTCTGGCACATTAAAAAAAACTAGTAAACGTTAATTTTTTATGTTCTAACCAAAACTTTTATCAATAAATACTGAATACTCATTATACAACAATAATTAGGTATTAAATAAAAAAAAAACCTTATCTAATTATTAAAATATAATAATGTTTAGTATTTCATAAGAATATAAGAGTATAGTTATAGATAATTATCAACTAATAGAAATATAAAGCCAACATAATTACGTCACAAGACTATGTTTAATTAAATGCCAGCCATTTATCTCAAATTATCGTTTAACGCCTCTCGGAAAGCGCGTAAACATGGTCCCGATAAAGAGGCTACACAATGTCAAATGTCTGCTGAAATATTTCTCAAACAAATTATTAAATACGAGTTGTACAGTTCGTAGCGCATCGAGCATTCTAAATAACGAAGATGTCGTAACTTTAGAAATCCAAGGAAAAAGTCTAAAGTTTCCTTTTGTGTGGTTGAGAGACAACTGTCAGTGCGAAAAATGTTTCCATCCATCAGCTAAGAGCAGGATCCTTGATTGGAGCGAATTTAACCTCAATACGAAGCCGAAACACATTCTTAAAGGACACGATTCAGTGAAAGTGACATGGGACGACGGTCACACATCGCAATACAATCTAAACTGGCTTCAGTTCAGAGCCTTCACACCGGAAAATCAAAAGGAATACAATAAGGAATTGTATAAGCCAGCAAAAATCACGTGGAAGGGTGAAGATTTCCATAAAATATGCAACAAACACGACTATAACAAAATAGTAGCATCAGACAGCGCCCTGTACAATTGGCTATACGACTTATCCACGTATGGAGTCACGTTAATACAGAACACACCGGACAAGGAAACAGCTATCGACGCCGTCGTCAAAAGGGTCGGCTTTCCGAAACAAACACATTACGGACTTAGGTTCATCGTTCAACATGTCGCAAATACAAGCAACGTGGCGTATCTGTCGAGCAATTTGCAAATGCACACAGATCTGCCTTATTATGAATACTGTCCAGGAATAAATTTACTTCACTGTCTCGTACAGACTACATCTAACGGCGGGGAAAACATTCTTTCCGATTGCCACTTCGTCGCGAACTATATGAAAGAACATCACTCGGAACAGTACGAGATACTGACTGATACAGAAGTAGAATGGAGCGACATCGGCGTGGAACACGGTAACGAGTTTCACAAGCTTTACAGATCTCCTGTTATATGTTTGGACAGGCGTGGCGATATATCAAGGATCAATTTTTCGATACCGCAAAGAGGCAACCACTTCCCCGGTCCTATTGAAAAAGTGAAGCCATGGTACGAAGCTCACAGTCTCTTCTTCGAGCTGAATCGAAAGTTTGCGGCGAAATTCAAAGTGGAAACTGGTAATATACTTGTTTTCGACAACATTAGACTGCTCCATGGACGAAATCAGTATGAAGATCGGGGGGACAACGTAAGAAAATTAATTGGCGTTTACATCGATTGGGATGAAGTGTACTCGAGATTGAGATCTCTTAAGGTAAAATTAGAAAATAAAAGTTATTATTAAAAAAAAATCAAAATATAACTATATTATATTTGTTTTATCAGAATTACTGAAGTCATTTAATCCTTATAATTTAAATGGAACATAGCCTAAGGTTTATAAATGTGAATATAAATAAAATGAGAACATCATCAATTAATCGAAGTCAATTAAATACGCACACAAAAAAATAAAGGCGAATTGAGAACCTCCTCCTTTTTTTTGAAGTCGGTTGAAAAATTACACCATTACATGAACTTCTGCTGTTTATGGACTTATTTTAGGAATGACACATATGTACTATTTTTCCTTTCTTTCTTTCTTTGAGTAGCTGAAAACTTCTTGGCTTTTTTTTAATTATTTTTTTTAAATGTTACCCCCACACTAGGATTTTCTCCTGTGTCGCGAAGGCAGTTTACAAACATAAATTGCACAAGGACAGACATCCAGACCTGGAACAATTATTTGTAGGCCATACAAATACTTGCAACAACTGATTGCTAAGCCACTGCGCCACGGAGCCGTCAGATACTCAATGATTAGTTATAACTTTCGTATCGTTACTGGTTGTAGTCTTAGCTCCGTAGGAATGAAGAAAGAAAAAATCATGAGGTCCTGGGCCAAATCAATTATTGTGGTTTTCTATCGTGAAATTATCAGTAGCAAGCCGGAGCCAGGAAGATAGCGGGACTTCACACCCATGTCTCGGTAAGAACGTAAACATGTTGTCCCTGCGCCTGATCTCTCCGGTCATGGCGGATAGCCGTCCAATTGGACTATGAGAATAAGGAAATAGAGAGTGCCTCTGTGTTTGGGTACACGCTCGTGCATTATTATTAAGCAGATGAGCTTACTAATGTGTCAAGCAAAATATATGTTATCATGCAAAAACTCCAAAATAAAAATATAATATTTAAGGCATGTTAGTATGCCTTTTGAGTTATTTTTAATTATTAGAGAATATTTGTTTTTAGTATAAGTATTTGGATAGCTTTTTGGTAAGAAACCGCAATTAATTAGGGCAAGATAACACAGCATGCTTCTGCATCGTAATTATTGGTTTAATATGCTGTAGGCAAAAAAGATTAGCTGTGGCTTCACTTCTTATGCTGAAAAGGCCAAAAGACCACACAAGATGGCCAGTTTGTGTTAATATAGTTTTTTTTTCTTATTTCAATTATGCCTACACTACATAGGCCACTCAAACAAAAACCAACATGAGCATTCTTAACAAGCGGAGCTTGAAGTGTAAAATTGAAATGGAAAAACAACTTATTTAAAAATAAAACTTGAAATCAAATGAGTAAAAGCAAAATCATTTTGTGATGGGTGAATCTGTTAATATTAAGTTACTAATGATACCAAATGTTAGCGTACATACGCCCCACAGCTGGGCATGGGCCTCTGATTTGGGGGTTTAGAGCAAGGCAGTGTGTGCTGCATATTTCATAATAAGAAATTATGCGGAGCTCGTATTTACAGCCGAGCATGTGGTAAATTGGAACTCAAAATTGGTATTAAAATTTCATTGGTGCAAGCAAGGATCAAATCAAAGTTGCTTGCATACTGTAAAATTTACAGTGAGCACTTGTGTTAATGTACATAAGATTAATAAGTGCCAGGGCCCTTTTACAAATTCTTTTCACTGATGGATAACACAAACTTCTAAGATTATATAAGTATTTATTATGTAAAATAACGTCTTTTATCATTAAACAATGTTGTATACCTTTAATTTAAATGCATACGTATAATGTATTTTTCCAAAAATCGTGATATCATGAGTATTTTTTATGTATTTAATTGGTAAGCCTTATTAAAAAATTAAACAAAAATAAGTGATTCTAAGGACATATGATATGTAACAGCTTTACTAGCCACTGTTTTTAATGTTTCTGAAAAGCTTCCTTCATTGTATATATGGCACTGTAATAATATGATTGTAGCATGAATGGGCGACCTACTCAAATGGGGTAGGACCACACTCACACAATACCACTGTAAAATAGCAGCTTAATGCTTCTGTGTTTTGTATGGAGCGTGTAGAGAACCGGAGACCCTTTTTACTGGATATGAGGCATTTCATCTTAGTTCTCGGGGGTAGCAACGCATCTGCATTTTGATTCTTAATCGAAGATAGGTAATGGGAGATATGAGACATATGGGCCATAGTTGACACTTATGCGTTTTTTGAGTTATTTTTTTATATTATAAGCATGACAAAGTCCACCTGATGGTAAGTAGTTAAAGTGGCCCATAGACATCTACATCTATCCTCGTTTGCGAATAAAAATGTAGATGCGTTGTCAGCCGTGAGGACTAAGATTGCATGCCTCTTTCCCAGTAAAAAGGGTCACCAGTTCTCTACACTCACCATACGAAACACAGCAGCAATAAGTTGCTATTTTACGCTAATCTTTTGTGAGAATGTGGTCCTTCCCCGGTCGAGTCGACCCATTCGTGTTACAACTATAAAATTAATATAGCTGCAACATGGCTCTACCTCGTATAAAATTATAATCTTGACTTGAAAATTTTTATTTTTTATAATCTTTTTTAATATAATCTTCACTATATACGTTTATAATCTGCACTAGAAAAAACTTCGTCAACTTCCTGCAATGGAAGTTTTCCCTCGTAAGAGCATAATGTTTAATTTATTCATAAGCAAAAACATTATATTGATGTGCGTACAGAAAACATACAGCATTGTTATTAAGCTAAGTCTGCACTGCTTCTTCATAACAATGACATGTCTTCCCTCCCTGCACATATTACATATTTTGTTATGTATAACCACTAAGTATACAATTTTATAATAAACCAGTTTGATATCAGATCAGATCAGAAAATAAATAATTCTCACAAATGTGTTTCAGATTTGTTAGTTTTATATTAAAAAGAAGCATACAGTGCAATGATAATCATTTCACAATTAAAATACATACATAGTAATAATATTATTTATCGTCTATATCATTTTATCACAGACAGAGACAAAATATTTACAACATCCTTAATATGTCCTATTTTAAGTGATGCCTAAACCTTGCTTAAATTCTTCACATGCACACATCTTTTTTAAGCCGGTAAAACTTCACTGCTGGACGTACACATATGCACCTAAAACCATTGTTGTGGATAAATGACTTTAGATGCATATGTGTGTTCGTACAATAATTTAAAGATGGTTTTGGCTTGGTTTTTTCTGTCACTTGTAATGTATGCAGCAGTCTCTCTTTCTTTCTTTATTGGTCTAAGTTTATTTATTACATCTTATCATAAAACGGATAAAGTCCACTGCTGAAAATAGGCCTTTCCCATAAATTGCCTCAGGGTGTATAATATGCTGTAGTTGTTACACTTGGCAGGCATTTGGCCAACTGTAGTTTTTTTATTATTTTGAACTGTTATCAGGTAGATGCTGCTCATAACCAATTTAATTTCTTTCCCCAGCTTCTTTAAACACCCACGGGATATGGAGTAAACAATTATTTTACTCTACCAATACATCACTTGGCTTAGACATCCAGTACTCGATCTTAATAATGTTTTCAGTTTAGGAGAATTGTCAGGATTCATTTACCACCATCATAGCAGAGTTTAGGGCAACCTGACTTTATAGATAAGATAGGTTGAATCTGTACTAAAACCCAATCAGCACACCCCAATCCCACAGTCCTGTCTGCCCTACCCCTAATGTTTTTGTAAAGGTGTAGGCGTGGAGGGAGAGCAGCCCCTACCCACTGTAGCAAATTGCAGACAACCGTGGGTACCTGCAATTTACTATGCGACGGCAAAGGGGTTGCATATCCCGCAGCGCATAAGTAACTTTGGATCAAGATTCCTGTGCAAAAAAGTGAGGTTATGATTTTACAAAAAAATCATTACTCATATACCTACTGCTCTTCCACAAGGGGGAAGAGTAGGGGGCTGAACCCACCATCTCCCCACACCCCCCATCACACCCCTGTACACAAGTACCGGATGACTAGTTTTACCACCACCTACATAACTGAAGAATCATACCTAATAAAAACTTTTAAATTATAAATTCAATATCATGAAAAATAAGAACAAAATACCACTATTTAAGTTCAACATAAGCATCTATACTATAACCTCTTAAAATGAACCTTCTTAATGGTAGTATTTTTTCTAATTCATCAACTTTATCTTCAATCTCAACTAAAGGAAAATCTTCTAAATCAGGATTTGAAGCTATGGATACAGCTGTTGACTCATTCGTGTGGAGAAATACTGTAAAACTTTTATTTTCAGGCAAGTTCTGAAGCTTGTTGCTTATAGTGCTTAAATTCAAGGAAAATGCCCGTAAATTTTGTTCAGCTTGCACTAAATACGCATCTGCATTTTCGTCATATACAGCATTTTTATCAAAATCGAAAACAAACTTTACTAAAGGTGTATAATCTTCGTTTGTCACTGCAAATTCGACGCGCTTTAGCGTACCGTTTTTTAAACACTCCGCCACACTTTTCAAGCAAAGATCAATGTATTGATTCACCTCAGGGTGTTTAGAACGATAAACGACAATACTGTACTTTTTCCTCATCTCAAAAATAGTTGCCGGATATACAGAAACGTAGTATAAAATATTATGAAATGCAACTGCTAAAAATTCCACAGTGACATCTATAAAACAGTTATCCATTGCAGCTACTTATCATCGAAATTCGAAATTCAATTTCGATGGTATACTATATAAATTTGTATACGAAATATAAATATTAGAAAAATAACAAACTTTTAAATTTAAACGGACCACAACAAAATCACTGACTTTGACGTAAACTTATTGACGTTTAATACTTTTTGTTCAAGGCATAAGTATCTATTATAGGGGCTACACAGCTACACACGATCACTTCTAACTGTCAGTTTTGACTGACCAGTTTTAACTGACAGTGAAAACTGAGTGTGTGTACGATGAAAACTGTCACTTTTTTTATTATCAGTTAAAACTGATGATATATTGTTGATACATATTTTTTAACTGAAATGACGGAACTGATCAGTTAAAACTGTGCGTGTGTAGGCGGTGTTTCTTCAGTCGTGTTGCGATCACGAGATTGAGGTAAATTTCTTCACTCATTCTGAGATAGTTGTGCCAATCTTTCGAAACAATTTTTAGTTCGGTTAATAAATTAACATGGGAATAAATTTTCCTTTTTTTTTAACCACTCTTTACACCACTCTTTGCGTATATTTTTTTTTTATTTTTTAAAATTAATAATAAACCAAGCACGGCTAAAGCGTCGTCGTCGGCTGATGACATCTTGAGACATCTTGAGATGGTAATGTTGTTTGTGGTCAAAGAGAACAGTTAAAACTGAACGTGTGTGGGTGCAAAGGACGTCAGTTTTCACTGTCAGTTAAAACTGGTTAGTCAAAACTGACAGTTAAAAGTGATCGTGTGTAGCCCCTATTACGGCGGCTCTTCACGTTGGCCAACACACTGGCGAATGTGTTGGCCAACAACGATGGCCATCGTGTAGAGCGGGCGTTTAAGCTACGTTGGTATGTATTGGAACGATGGCCCACAAGTTGGCGCGAGATCCGTGTGGTGTCGGTTTTTTGCAAAAGATCAAAGGGTTGTGGCAGAGTATTGGCCGTCGCGTCCACACGTTGGGCGCACGTTCAGTTTGCTACGAGCTACGAGCTCCCAGAGTGATTGCACGCACCTGATTTAAATTTTATATGCACGCATCGTAACTAGTGTCTTCATAACGGCAGTAACAATGACCAATGAAAAAACTTTTCGCTTTATAGAGCCCTCCCAAGCCGAAAATTGTTTGTAAAACACAAGTCTTTTTAAAAAAAATGTTATTATACACTAGGATTTTCTCCTGTATCGTGGAGGCAGTTTACAAACATAAATTGCACAAGGACAAACATCCAGACGCGGAACAATTATTTGTAGGCCATACAAATACTTGTTCCGTGCGGGATTCGAACCCGCGGCCCCCCGGGCAGCAACTCATTGCTAAGCCACTACGCCACGGAGCCGTCAAGAAATAAAATTTCTTTTTTCCATTTCTTTTTGATCACCCTTATCTTATACACATTCACATTGTAGTGATTAATTGTGTATTAATTTATTTATTGATGTATTAATTGATTTATTAAATATCTTAAAATCTATAATATATAATATATATTAAAATCAAATTAAAAAGTAGGATACTAAAATCATGTTTTTACTCTTTATTTTTTTTTCTTTTTTTTTATGCGTTACCCCCACACAAGAATTTTCTCCTGTGTCGTGGAGGCAGTTTACAAACATAAATTGCACAAGGACAAACAACCAGACGCGGAATAATTATTTGTAGGCCATACAAATACTTGTTCCGTGTGGGATTCGAACCCGCGGCCCCCAGCGCAACAACTGATTGCTAAGCCACTGCGCCACGGAGCCGTTAATATTCCCTATTAGTTACTTTATTTCGTTAATAATACTGTAATATTTAGCTATGGAAGAGCGAAGTCACCTGTTACAGGCATTATTTTGCTTACTAGGTGACCTCGGTCACTGATCATATAATGTAACTTTAATGTTTGACGAAATAAATTATTTATTATTATTATTAAGTTTTATTCTATAATTATATAATAAGAATAACCCTTTTTAAAAAGGTTTTGTTTAATAAAATTTGACAACAGTTTCATAGACAGGCTTCTAATATTTTCCAGGCCTTAGTTGTAAAAGTGTTAATTATACCTATGCCTAGGTGTGTTAATGTTTATATAGTTCACTTATCTGTATAACGTTAGTGTATAATAAAGAAATATTAAAAGTTTATATTAAAAATATTAAATATAAAAAATATAGTGATTATGAAATAAAAAAATAGTGGTATGCTGTGAATAAATAAACCGCAGCAGCCGTTAGCGCATCAATAATCATTTTAATAAATTCGTCCGCACATTGGCCTGAACCGAAGCAAACTGAACGACCTTCCAACGTGTGGACGTGATCCCAATTTCTTGGCCAATAACTCTGCCAACACATTCGCCACTGTGTTGGCCAACGTGAAGAGGTGCCATTATCTAAGCTCATACAGCCTTTTTCTGACGTTTATTTTCTTAGCAAAAATACTTCACAATATCAATACGCTGATGCATCACCTTGCAAAATCTGAAAATTACATATTCTACCAATACTAATCTAATGGGTATTTACTAACTAACTAACTTACAAATACTTGTTACGTCCGGGATTTGAACCCACGGCTTTTAGCGCTGCAACTCATTACTAAGCCACTGCGCCACGGAGCCGTCACTTGTCTGTTTCACATTTTTTGCTATTTACTATTGAGATAATATTTTTCGTTTCATTAACCAGTTTTTGCAAAGTAATTGCGAGCAATAAGCCTAGGATGGCTAACGCATCGTCGTCCGTCACTAGTGACGCCATGGTTTCAACTGATGCGGCATCATGCAAACTTGACGGCGAACTTGAACGTGTGTGGCCTATATGGATGCACTGCAAACTTGACGCCGCTTCAAGCGCGCTGCAAACTTGACGGTAAACTTGATCGTGTATGGCATCCATAAGATGTTTTTAAAGTATAGATACGTCATACACGCTCTAAAATGGCAATACAAAAGTCAGGTAATTGCCCTGACTCGCATTCAGTCGGGCACGCTCTCGCGTCGCGGCTATACCTTCGCTACAGCACGTAAATCTTCTAGTTATTCGTGGTAAAAATGCCTTCCTGTGTTTTTAGGTGGTGCACAAATTACACGGCAACTGCTAGAGACAAAAAAAGTCTCATTAATATTTTGAATATAGATGTTTTGTTCGTAATTGGTTTTATTATTTCGACACTAACCGCTAGTGTAAACTTTGACGCTAGCTAGTGTGTTCATTTCCATTAGACATGGGCAATGTGTATCACTTAAAAGAAAAGATTGATATGTATCTTTTGATCACTAGGATATGTATCACTCTTTTATATCTTTATATCCTTATGTATCAGTAGAACAAGGTCGCGTTCACGACACGCATCGCATTACATTGCGTTGCTCACTCAGCGTGGCTCGCTTCGCTCAACTCAATCCTATCAGTAAGAGTGATAGATACCTATCGACCTATATATAAGACTTATAGAACTGTTTGCGTTTTGCTTGGTCGTAACATTGTGTATCTTTCTGATATATTTGGCTGCTGTTTCTTTCTAGGTATCTATTTATTATGATCAAAAAATTAAAGTTTTCTTATTTCTCAGACATGCAGGTTTCCTCACGATGTTTTCCTTCATCGCCGAACACGTGGTAAATCAGCACTTAAAATTGCAATTAACAATTTCATTGGTGCCGGCGGGGATCGAACCCGGGTTGCTCGCGTACTGTGAAACTTACGGCGAGCGCTATTATTGTTATGATTGATAAATATTAATAGGCACTTATTCGAAAAATTTACTTAAATTTTTAGTTTAAAATAATAAATAAATGATTAACGTAAATAACATAGGTAGGGTATTTTTAATAATTTTAAACTAATATGCCTACGTATTTGTTCGGAACCCTGGGTGCGCGAGTCCGACTCGCACTTGGCCGTTTTTTTATGGATATAAACGACTACTATTTCGGTTATAAAACTTTCTTAAAAACGATGGTTTTATAACCGAAATTAGTTTGCATTGTTTACTAAAAAATTCATAGGCAAAGTACACATAGGTACAGTTTAAACCAGTATAATACTTAAATGTTAACGTACCGCTTAATGACTTTAAGCCCTATGCACCAGTAATAGAGTTATCAATTTACCTTTTTTTGCCAACGTATTACAGTTTATAGTGGTCAAACAACTCACTCTCTCCGTCTTGCCAAAGGGCGACAGAACATTCTAAATAGTGAGCTGCGAAAGAAACGTCTGTACTATGGACTTCGAAATCTTCCTGGAATGGCCGGCCACGCCGGCCGAGGAATAATATAAAGCAGTGTGCGTAATGTGCGACACAGATGTTAGATATAAAAAGTTAAAAGATGCCTTGAGTGAATAAGTTGTAAAGATACACTGATACAGTGATACATTTGGATGCGGATGGATATAAAGTGATTGATTGAATCGGATTGATTCATATCTTTTGTATCTATCTTTCCTGAGTTACCCATCTCTAATTTCCATATCGGTATGTCACGCGCTCGCGCCAATGAGCGCTCAGCAGCAATCAATACGCAATTAATGATGTATATTCATCTTTTTTTAACGATAGGTATGCCGTATCATTTGTCTTTTTGTTAAAGTCTTATTACATTACACGATTTCTCGGGCCCTGCCCGCAGGGACAGGGTAGTGTAATAAGAAACAGGGAGTCAGGGTCCCTAAACAGGGCGACCGAGTGGTTCCGACCGCCCTGCTTCCCTGCCGCGCTGTGGATCGTGTAGTGTAATAAGAGACAGGGAGGCAGGGAGCAGGGAGCTCAGTTGCGTGTAGAGATGAGACATACTTGCAAAATTTCATACCAGGGCTTCTAAGTACGAGTATGGAAAAATACCAGGGTCGAAAACCAGGTTTTATAAATACTGGAAAGTATTTGTTAATGTCAATATATATATATGAATGCCTAATTTAATTCGGGCCAAAATTTATACTGTACCTTTTTAAATTTTTTTTGGTAACGAAATGAAATCTTTCCTTCCTACTTTTCGGCTTTAATAAATAAAAGTTTTAAAACTGTCTCTAAATTCAATATACACGCGAAATAACTATTTAAAAATTAGGTCACGGTCAGTAGGTTACGTAATCAGTTCACAATAATAATTGAATTTACAAGAAATCGAAACAAAACTTTTACTTCCCCGAATATAAACATAATTCTTATTACTCACTAGCTACTTACGCGACGTGTCCAGCCGCGGTGTCAGTTTGAAAATACTTGCAAAGAGTATAGTAATATATAAGGAAGAATACTTGCATAGGAATTCGACCCGCTTTCCATGTTAGGCTATTATGACTAAGGAGCAAATTCGTATAAATAAAAAAAATACTTTCAAGTTCAAAGTATTTTTAATTCACAAATACGATTGAGTTTCTTATTACTATTGAGATATGGATCATTTTCCTATGCAAGTATTCTCTTACTTGCAAGTATTTTTTGGTCGTAAAAGGGCGCCGTACTTTAAAGTTAAAACCTGGTAGCGTAAATACCTCTCATTGCGACGCGAGGGACGTGTCCAGCCGTGGTGTCAAAATTTGAAAATACTTGCATAGGAATTTCACCCGTATTCCATGTTATCCTACTATGAATAAGGAGCAAAGTCGTATAAATAAAAAAAATACTTTGAAGTACTAAGTATTTTTCGTTAACAAATACGATTGAGTTCCTTACTACTATTGAGATATGGATGATTTTCCTATGCAAGTATTTTCATACTTGCAAGTATTTTTTGCTCATACCAGGGCGCCGTACTTTGAAGTGAATACCTGGTTTTAAAACCTGGTAGCGTAAATACGTCTCATCTTTAGTTGCGTGGCCGCATGCGCGGAGTTTACACGTTTGTTTATTTAAAGTTCTACTATGTCGATCTACTCTCTAAATCATTACTCGTATTTTTGTCATGCGCTAAAGAAAAAGATCCTTCTCAATGTTATCGACATCTACAAAGAAATGCCTTATCAAATCTTGATAGGGGTTTCCAGTGGCCAAAATCGTAAAGTAACAACCAATCTCTCTTAAAAAAGTATTCTTTTGAATAAAACTTCTTTTACGGATTTTATCGCGTTTAATTTTTTTTTATTAATTTCCGACGTTTCCGGTGCTTTACCACCCATGGTCACGGGGGACTGGTTGCTGTAAAGCATCCGAAACGTCGGGAATTAATAAAAAAAAATTAAACGCGATAGAATCCATACAAGTAGTTTTATTCAATGTGTAGTGTTCGCGTAAATATAAGAAATTATTAAAGTAGTTTTTTTTCTATTAAAGGCGTTACTAAGCTTAATAACTCGTCGAATTGGTTTTCACCTACTCTTTAAAATAGTTTCGTGTTGTGTCCAAAACGCTGACTATTTGCATATTCGATAGTTTTTCTCTGAGGAGTAAATATTTTTTCATCCACATTTAACTTTCCTTCCTTTTTTTAGCTTGGCCTTGCACGTTACCGCCAGCCAAAGTTTTTTTTAATAGGATAGGGTGTCAAACGAACACACAGTCCACCCGATGGTAAGTGGTTGCTGTGGCCCATAGACACCTACATTTATCCTCGTATGCGAATTAAAATGCAGATGCGTTGTCACCCGTGAGGACTGATATGGAATGCCTCTTTTTCAGTAACGAGGGTCTCCGGTTCTCTACACTCACCATACGAAACACAGCAGTGTTAAGCTGCTGTTTTACGCTGGTATTCTGTGAGAGCGTGGTCCATCCCCGGTCGAGCCGACTCATTCGTGCTACAACTATACTACTGATATAGCTGTAGCATGGCTCTACCACGTTAAAAAAAACAATAAAGCAATTTTTTGACGTATAGATAAAGTCTGCGCCATAATGCTAGACGTGCAATCATTTCCACGTTCGAGTAACAACTGAGGCAGGAAGCGATTTCTAGCGTAGTGTAATAAGCAGCGCCCTGTCTGGTAGGCAGGGCACACGATGGACAGGGCCCGATAAATCGTGTAATGTAATAAGCCTTTAACAACTGAGGCAGGAAGCGATTTCTAGCGTAGTGTAATAAGCAGCGCCCTGTCTGGTAGGCAGGGCACACGATGGACAGGGCCCGATAAATCGTGTAATGTAATAAGCCTTTTAGCGCAACTTGTCATAATCAATAACTGTACGTAGATATAGTACTACCTGCGCCACTTTAAAATACAATAATGTTAGTGTGTAACCTGTATTTTTTAATACGTCTTTGAGGACAGAGGCTTTTTTGTGAACCAGTGGTAAAAGTAAAAAAATGACGTTCAATAAGTATTATGTACAGTAATCTATATTGAATAAAAATGATTCTATTCTATTCTTCCCGATCTATCGGACTACAAGAGTGAGAGAAAAGAGTGCACAAGGATTAAATAGAACATTTATATGCCAGAAGTCGATGGACGCAGGTGACTCAGGACCATGCTTTGTGGCTTTCCTTGGGGGAGGCTTATGTTCAGCAGCATGTGTTATAATCCTGATTACACAAAATTAACTGCAGCTCCGGTCTAGCATGGCAACTATGGCTAATATGGGGGTTATTCGTAGAACATAGGCTTCTCTGCCTAAATTCAGCAGTGGCCCTTCATAGGCTTTAATGAATCATTTGGTTAGGTATCACCCACCTACCTATTTCTGGTTTCGGAAACTGCTGTTATTTAGGTGCAAGATGTTTTTCCTCATTGGATGCTACAGCAGCCAAGCACCACAAGGTTGCATTTTGTCCTTTCTTGTATGCAATTTTATAAAATTCAATTAATGCCAATTTGTTTCTTTCTTATCACTTGTATGCTGACAATAAGAATAGTATATTATTCCTTGCTGAGGTCTATGCTGCTTGAAAAACCATAAATTAATATCTGAGCTTCTTTTGAAGATCTCCTAACAAAATTCCTAAGCTTGATTTGACTGCAAGTCAAAGTGAAGTAAATCTTAGGAGACAAACTCCAGTTTTAAGCTTAAACTCTTTTTTATAGGATAGGGCGACAAACAAGCACACAGTCCACTCTATGGTAAGTGGTTGCCTTGACCCATAGACATTTACATCTACTATCCTCAATAAAGAATCAAAATGCAGATGTGTTATCACCTGTGAGGACTAAGATGGAATGCCTCTTTTCTAGTAAAAAGGATCTCCGATTCTCTACACTCACCATACGAAACACAGCAGTGTTAAGCTACTATTTTACGCTGGTATTCTGTGAGTGTGGTCCTTCCCCGGTTGAGCCAACCCATTCGTGTTACAGCCTCACAATGTCAACCTTAACCTTAAGTATATATACACAAATTTGCATGTTGTGGAATTTGAGTTTAAACTAAAAAAATTCTCTGTACACTGGCCTAAAAGTTCAACCATTAATCCTAAAAAACCCAAGCTTACATTGTTGGTAGTGCAAATGCAATAATTTGTATGAATCAAAAATAATACACAATCTATCAATCAACAATTGCTATATTACGTAATATATTTTTAATTAAGACACAGTATTCCTTCCTACAAATGCATTCATTTGTCTGGAATTGTTTCAAGACCCTGTAAGGAAAAAAAGTTTGATTATTTTTTTCTGTTAATATCAATGATATGTTATAATGATATATGATTGATAGGCGTATAATATACAATTTTTTATTGAATAACTTTTTAGTTGTAGGTTAAAAAACAAAAATATAATGAAAATATGCATAATATAATATGTTGGTTCGCATATCATAAACTCAATAGTTGAAAAAAAACTTTTTGATTAATAAGTAGAGCTACAATCGACTAACAGATCAATATATTGAATAATAATACTTTTACGGTTTAATAAACTTATTTTTCTTATTTTTATTAATTCCCGACGTACAAACATACAACAATAATTAAAATACAACTTTTATCAGATAAAAGTACATACGTAAAGATCAAAACAGACCCTACAACTAATACACATAAAACAACTAGCAACCTAATTAAGAAATACTCCTAGAAATTGAATCTAGACGTTAATTCGATAATACCTGCGTGTGCCAAACCGCCGAAGTTGTATGGGTTACCAAAAATACACAAACCAAACACTCCATTACGTCCAATAGTGAGTCCGATCGATTCGCCAACTTACAGATTGGCTCAACACCTAGCAAAAGTACTATCACCACTCAGAGGACACACAAGAGCACACAATAAGGGTTCATACCATTTTGTCAGTGAGATAAAAGACCTATGTCTTACTGACAATGAAACTATGGTCTGTTTTGATGTTCAGTCTCTATTTACATGACTACCTATTGAAGACTGCATCTCAATTGTAACTAGGAAACTAGAGGAAAACAACATGCCAGCAGAATATGCAGTATTACTCAGACATTGCCTCTGCCATCTAGCTATCTATTGTGGAAGGAAGAGTTTTACAAGCAAGTAGATGGTGTTGCGATGGGCTCACCGGTGTCTCCCATTGTCGCCGATATTTTCATGGAGGACTTTGAGGAGAAAGCCCTGCTTACTGCACCAGTACTCCAAGTTTCTACAAGTGGTACGTAGACGATACTTTCACAATTTTACCATCAGACAAAGTAACTGCATTTTTAGAACATCTTAATTCCATAACCTCTAAAATTCAATTTACTATGGAGTTAGAGGCAAATAATTCTTTATCTTTCCTAGTTGTGTTACTCATTCGAAATCCTAATAACACCATAGGTCCACACTGTGTATAGAAAAAAGACCCATACAAACTGATATTTAAACGGTGAATCCGACCATCATCCCTCATAGTTAGCTACCGTGGGCAAATCTTTGTTACAGAGAGCACGAGGGATCTGCGACAGCAAACACGTGGCCGCCGAGCTTTCACCACGTCAAGCAGGTTCTGCACGACAACAAGCTTCGGGTCCCGCGCCTACGTCACAGTGACCGAGTGAAGCCGGCCACAGTCAAGCATGTGCCTGCTGTACTACCATATGTCAGAGGTTTCACAGACAAGATCATTTTCAAGAGACATTTACATCTTGAAGAGAGCTTCTATTAGAACATTCTTCAAGCCGCCAAAGAAGATTAGTCAGTTCTTACCATCCGTCAAGTGCAATATTCCTCTACAAGATGATGCAGGAGTGAACAAACTTGATTGTGAATGTGGTCTCTCATATACAGGGCAAACAAAACTATCAATAAAAACCCTTGTAAAAGAACACATAGCTGACGTGAAGCACTAACGTTCTGGGAAGTCTGCAGTTTGTGATCACATCCTAGACGGCCCCCGTCATTACATTAGATTTGATAAACCACAAATTCTCGCGAAAGAACATTAATTCCTGTCTTGATAAGATACGTGAGGCTATTGAAATTAAAAAACATCCTAATTTCAATAGAGAGGGAGGCTGGGCACTGCCACCTGCTTGGGATCCTGTAATTAATAAAATTAAAACTAAGCCTAAGCATACCACTGCAAGACTTCAAGATACAATAAGTTCATTCTGCGTAGATTAGACCAAAATTAATAATTTAAAAAATCTGTAGGTACTCCGGGTTAACTCTGACATCAGGACGTCAATCACCTCAGTCTCTTGTGACCATGGGCCGCTGAAAAGCACCCGAAACGTCGGGAATTAATAGTAATAAGAAAAATAAGTTTATTAAATGCAATAAAATCCGTAAAAGTAGTTTTATTCAATGTGTAGTGTTCGCGTAAATATAAGAAATCATTAGGTCAATATATTATCATCATCATCAATACAGCCTTTCATAAGTCCACTGCTGAACATAGGCCTCCCCCAAGGAATACCACAAAGCACGGTCCTGTGCCATTATATTAGATCCTTATATTATATTATGATGTATTGGGACATGCCAATACATGGTATACACTTGACTAAGTAGTGGATCTGCAACTTTTCAGTTGTGCGTGTTTTGTTCAATCATTTTATAATATGCTAACCTTCAGATAAAATTATTAATTTTTAAAGAAAAATAAAACTAAAATTAAATAAACTATTTGTAGATAACCATGGTTAACTATTACATTGAAAAGTCAAACACCTCAGTCCCCATCATGACCATGGAGGGTGTAAAGTGCTTGAAACATTGGGAAATAAATATGATGTAATATAAGTTAATATATGTGATAAAATCCATAAAAACTGGTTGTATTTAAATGTGTAGTGTTCGTGTAAATATAAGAAATCATCACATTTTTTTATTTGCCTAGTCACCACGCTCCACAGGTTGATTAGCAATCTTAGTACCCAATGTGTTGTTACGTTTGATGCTACCTCCTTGGTTGCAGAACCAGTCAAAACAGTGTGGGAATGTATGACAAGTGCTTGGCTACTATGTTGCAGTTCCTTATTACATATGTGTCACATTGGGCATGGAGAGATAAAAATGATAAGCCATTAACCTAATTTAATAATGTTCCTCTGTGTTTGCATATTACTGTTTGCTGTATCTTACTACTAACTATAGTGTTTCTGCAACAGTTTTCTAAACGTTGTCTGCATAGTCAAAGGTCTTGAGGACATTATTAGTACAAAATTTTAAAAAATTATAACATTGTGATTTCTTATATTTACGAGAACACTACACATTTAAATAAAACTAGTTTTACAGATTTTATTGTGTATATTAACTTATTAATAATTTTAATCTGGAGGTAGCCTTGGTTAACTATTATATAGACATTGTATAATACATATATATAGACATTGTGACGTCAAACACCTCAGTCGCCCCGTGACCATGGGTGCTGTAAAGTGCTCAAAACGTCAGCAATATAAAATAAGTTAATATACACAATAAAATCCGAAAAACTAGTTTTATTTAAATTATAACTTTGGGATGCGTTAGTGCCCCCACTATAATGGTACATCCTATGCAAGTAGTACATTACTATAATCTATATTAGTATATTATTCAATTAACAAGTTAACAATCCAAACAAGGAATTTGTTACTCTCTTTAAAATTGCAATTTGTTACTGTCTATTACAGACTACTATTGCAGTCTATTATATGTACTTTTTTTACAGAATAAGGGTAACAAATAAATAAATAATACAGAAAAAGTACACCTGATGATAAGTGTGTGATGGGAATATCAAGCTTTTGATTAAGAAAAAACTATATTACACTTTTTGCTATTACAATATTAAATCTAAATATACTCTAGTTTATAATAAGACACTTATGCCAAACTGTGGACTGTTGCATAATAATTTCCACTTACATTAACATTGTATGGATCACCAGTGAGCCTAACATCCCGTTGGTACATTATGCGATCCCATCTGTCGTCCATTGTACGCCTGAAGTGCTAAAATTTTAAGTATGATGTTATATTTTTTTATACAAACTGAAGTGACAAATGAACTTGCAATTCACCTAAAGATAAGTGGCTACTGCATTCCATGAACATTTGCAACCAAGTTCAAACAGAGAAGGCTAAAGATGCATTGTCATTTGCCACCTCTGCGGACTAAGACAAAATGTCTACAATTATACTAGTACTCTATACTGATTGGACTGTTACACAGCAGCGCAAGAACTGTTATTTGTTACCGAAATAGGTAAGGTGATACCTACCCAGGCATACTTCTAGGCGGAAAAGCAGTTCTACCACTTAGTGACATTTTATGTTTTCTTTCTATTAATGCAAAATATAGGCACTTATCAAATTCTAACAGAAACTGTAGAAGTTTTAATTTTGTAAACTGACAAGCATGATTTTTTTTATTTTAATGTAGAAAATAAGGATTTTTCATTTCAAACATTTTTAGATGTACTATTTGAAACAGTGATGGCCAATTCTAAATGGTTGATAAGAGAATCAAAAACTTAATGTAACTCAAGGAAGTGGCATAATAGTACTTAAGTCACAACACTACTGCAAACTAACTTTTCAATAAAATATCAATCAAAAAGTAACATATACACAAATATTGAAACTTAATTACTTAATTTAACTCACAGCTAAGCCAAAACTTTAATTACTGGTCATCTGTACAACTAATACAATAAGTAAGAGAAAAATAACTACCTATTAATTCAATAGTACATCATCATCATTCCAGTCTATCAAAGTTTACTGCTGAACAAAGGATACCCTCATAGACGGCTAGTTGCTACTCTTCTAAGGTGGCACAACAAAGCTAACACCAACTTTTATTATATTGGGTTGTTATCAGGAGAATGCTGCTGACAATCTCCTGTTTAATTTCCCTCTGTCGCCTCCTACGACACCCTTAAAGGATGATATGGGGTAGTAGATCATCTTACGTCGCCACTACCCACCGATAGTTGTTACCCACAAATATAAGTTAGCTACAATAAAATTGATTAGTGTTACCTAACCTGTCAGCGACAGTTAATTTTTTGTACTTACATTTCCTAAAGTCAAATTATGAATATGATATAGACCCCATCCAGGCAAACCTAAAGCCGCTGTTATGATAAAAAAACTGGGTAATATTTCGTACCACATATTTCCCTTTAAAAATTGAGAAAATCAGAACTCGGAAGTCAGAAAAACTAATAGATCTTATGTCTTATCTATGAATAGAACTCATGTCATAGATAATATACTACTGACTTTTGACCACCAGGGCTGCCAACAGTAAAAAATATTCCCTCGTACTTAGGCAGCTAAAACTCTCGTATATTGACTTTCAAAACTCGTACATTTATAATGCATCAAAAACGTGCTAAAACCAAAATGAAGGCATATTGAACTACTGGATTTAGGACTTTTACTTTTTTTTTTGGAGTTTATGGCCTGGTATCTAGACCTTTAGGCCAAATCTTAAGTATTTTTATTCGGTTTATTGTAATTTCCCCACTCCTTCATAGTATACTGCTTCACAATATGTTGATGCGTCACATTGTGCAGTTCTTGGGAGATTTTGGCGGCAACTTGATCCAGCAGACAGCTGATAGTTGGCGATGGTATCTAAAGGTGCCTATGCAAACAAACAGCTTATCTTGAGAATCCATCACCATCAGAGCACTTGTTTCACTGTTTCCACTAATAGTTCACATGCGTAGACACTTAATACACAAAATCGCAACACTTTTACATATCAAAGTCCACTTCTAACCATTATTTAAACAATAATACAGGAGCAGCAAACCGCCGCCGGTCAATTTCCCGCCAAAACTCCAGGACTTTTACTCAATGAAATAAACTATTGCAAGTTTAAAAGTATTTAAAAAAATCTTTATTATTGTTGCGCGCCACTATTAATGTCTTATAAATGGCAACACTAGTCACCATCAGCGCCCTCTAGTATCGAGTAGCAGAACCAGGAGAGTCAAGATCCTTCTAGAAATTTCGGGACCGATATGTACTCGAATATTCTAGATGTCGCTACAGTAGAAGGTTCTGGGAACTATCTGAGGCCCTATATAAGGCCGGTATAGACCACGACCGAGTCAGTATTGAATTGGCGATATAAGCGAATACTTCGAAGTGAAAAAAACTGCGAACTAAAGTGATCAGTAGTACAATTGTGTTATATTATTAGTGTGGTTTTAAATTGTAGTTAGTGTTCCGTAGTTAAACTGTCAATTTTGATGATTCACTCGGCAGTTTATTAGTCTCGAACCCCAAGCTCGTAACAATTGGTGTCAAAAGTGGGATCAAATCATGCCGATTTTACCAAAGGACGACATGGAGTGTATCCGTACCCGAAGTCAACGCCAGCTGGAGACGGACCAGAGACGATTTGGTAATGCAACGCCGCAAACGTCGGAGGGTCAGCTGCTGACCACGGAGGCCGGCCCGTCAGCAGCTCCTGCATCTGCAGCACCTGACTTAGGTGCTCTGATGATGATGCTGCAGGAACAGGCTGGCCGACAAGAGGAACAGGCCCGTCGATTGGAAGAGCAGCTGTAGCGCGGACAGGAGGAACAGGCCCGCCAACAGGAGGAACAGGCCCGCCAACAGGAGGAACAGGCCCGCCAACAAGAGGAACAGGGCCGTCGGTTGGAAGAGCAGCTCAAACGCAATAAGGAAGAGCAGATACTTCTCATGAAGAACCTTCACGCTACCTTCGGGAAAGAGATAAGGGAGGTGAAGGATAAGGTTGCTCAATATGAGAACCGCCTGTCGGAAGCTGAAACCCGAATCGACCAAGTGTACGATCGGGTTAACAACGTGATGGCTGACGTGAAATAAACGCTGGACGACCTCAAACTTGGGGATGGAGTTACAGCTCCCATGGTAGGTACAACACCTTCGCTACGAGGATTCAAAGTACCGCCATTCGGTCTTCTTCCTGATCAGCCTACAAAATCCAATTCGAGGCTGTCATGAAGGCGAACTGCTGGAATAAAAGTCAGGCCATGACTGCTCTCACTCTAGGCCTGCGCGACCAGGCCTTAACTGTTCTGGAAGCTCTAGGTAAGGAAGTGACTTACGAGCAGCTCCTTGAGGCATTGGAGGCGAGATATGGATACGCTCACCTGGAGCACGTCTTTCGTGCGCACGCAGTAACGAAAACCTGCAGCATTGGGCCCTTGAGGTGGAGAAGCTGGTTCGAAAAGCATACCAGTCTGTACCTGGCAGCAGGGAAACGAGTAAAAGCCAGGACTATTGGGCGGGTGCTGGCTGATGTTAAAAGAGCCCCAAGGATTTCGATCTCACAAACCCATGATGGGAACAGCCTAATCATTAAGTGCGAGGTCAACGGATCGCCGTGTAAACTGACCATAAATACCGGAGCCTCTCGCACGGTTATCAGTTCCCAACTTATAAGTCAGTTCCTTGGGGACTCCGCATACAAACGAGAACGCATTAATTTGGTGACAGCCACCGGTCAGCGCATACCCGCCCGTGGAGAGAAGGAGATAGAGTTGAAGCTAGGCAACGTGATCCACCTGCATAATGTCATCGTGGCTGGTATAATGGACGACTGGCATCCTGGGCTTAGACCTTATGAGGAAGAATTGTTGTGAGATCGACGTTAAGCAAGGTGTTTTGAATTGTGGACAAGAGGAACTTTTCGTGGAAATGGCGTTACCAGGGAATGTGTACATCCTTAAGAAGATTGTTCTTCCGCCGAGATCCTAAACTATTGTGCCGATTAGACTTCCTCGGAATCCTGGGCAAACTCTTCGTTGTGTACTCTTGGAAAGGGTAGATAATGACCTTCCATGGTAAGTGGCTCAAACCTTGATCAGAACCGCCGACATCTCAGGAGTACGTGTGTTGAACCTTTGTGATCAGGAACAGATTATAGAAAAAGGCACATTGGTTGGTACTAGTGAGGAAGTGGATTGGTTGCGTCGGTGCCAATATCTATCGACTGGGACCCCAGCAAGGATATACAAACGAGAGTGACCACACTTTTAGAAGACTGTCGCAGTGTTTTCTCCCCGAATGAAATGGTCAAGGCGAAGAAGTTGTTACTCAAGTACGCCAATGTTTTCTCGTCAAACGAAGCTGACATAAGAAAAACTGGCTTAGTTCAACACAAAATAAACACAGGAGAAGAATTGCCTATCCGTCAGCGGCCAAGAAGATTGCCTGTAGCACGGGAAAAGGAAGAGGAAACCATGATTGAGGGAATGGTGAAGGATGGTGTTATTGAACCTTCATCTAGTCCGTGGTGTTCATCTGTGGTGCTGGTAAAGAAGAAGGACAGCAGCATGCGGTTTTGTATTAACTACCGCTGTCTGAACGACGTTACGAAGAAGGACAGCTATCCCTTGCCAAGTATTGATGACACGCTGGACATGCTTACAGGCGTAAAGTGGATTAGTACGCTGGACCTGAAAAGTGGCTACTGGCAGTTTGAAATTGACCCTAAGGACAAGGAGAAAACTGCATTCTCCACAGGAAAGGGTCTGTGGCAATTTAAAGTCATGCCGTTTGGATTGTGCAATGCTCCAGCAACGTTTGAAAGGTTGATGGAGCTTGTACTTACCGGGCTAATTGGAGATGCCTGTCTGGTCTACTTGGATGACATCATCATCGTAGGCCGTACGTTTGAGGAACACCTTCAAAAACTGGAATGCGTGCTCATGAAGATCCAGAGTGCCAACCTCAAGTTGAGTCCGAACAAGTGCTCACTATTCAAACGGCAAGTTAGCTTTTTGAGGTATGTAGTGTTGGAAGAAGGTATCCGCACGGATCCAGAGAAAATTGCCGCTGTCAAGGATTGGCCGGTTCCAAAAGACAAGACACAGGTTAGAGCATTTTTGGGTTTGTGCTCTTATTATCGGCGATTTGTGAAGAACTTTGCAGATATAGTCAAACCTCTGCAGAAGCTAACCGAGGAGAAGCTACATTTCTGCTGGGATGAAAGTTGCGATATTGCATTCCAGGAGCTCAAGAACCGTCTGTGCAAAACACCTATTTTGGGGTACCCTGATGCGTGCAAGGAATTTATAGTTGACACAGACGCAAGTGATATAGGACTTGGCGGTGTGTTGTCTCAACGGAATGGTGATCAAGAGATTGTGATAGCGTACTTCAGCAAGTCGTTGTCAAAACCTGAAAGGAACTATTGTGTCATAAGACGGGAATTGCTTGTTGTGGTAAAGTCCTTGCAGCATTTTAGCAAATATCTTCTAGGGCGGAAATTCCACTTACGAACTGACCATGCTGCACTGAAATAGCTATTGCAGTTCAAAAATCCGGAAGGACAAGTTGCGAGATGGATTGAACTACTGCAGGAATACGACTTTATGATCGAATATCGCAGCGGGAAATCTCATGGCAATGCAGATGCATTGTCAAGAAGACCTTGCCCTAAAGATTGCAAGCATTGTACTAGGCAAGAGGGTAAGGAAGTGGTATCTGTGAGGATACTCAGGACAGACCAGCTCAGCAATGAGTGGAAGGACAGCCTACAACATGCACAGCAGGAAGATTCGGACATTAAGCCGATTCTGGAATCGATGAAGGCCAGTGCTCCTAAGCCCAAGTGGAGCGACGTCTCAGCGATGAGTTCGACCACGAAAAGCTATTGGGCCCAATGGGATAGCTTGGTGATTCAGGATGGAGTCCTGTGCCGTAAATGGAAAAATGGTCGGGGAGACTATTGAAGATCCGAGAACGGTTTTTCTGGGTCCACTGTCGTGACGATGTCGAGGACTGGTGCCGCAAATGTACAAGTTGTGCGGCTGTAAATGGACATCAAACTCGTAGTAGAGGCGCATTGAAATTGTACAATGTTGGTGCACCATGGGCGAGGATAGCCATTGACGTTGCGGTTCCGTTTCCGGAAAGTGAAAGTGGTAACAAGTATTTCATGGTTGTGATGTTTTACTTCCCTAAGTGGCCAGAAGTCTTCGAAATTCCAAATCAAGAAGCTTCAACAGCTGCAAATAAACTAGTTCATGAAGTCTTCTGTCCTTTTGGAGTACCTTTAGAGATTCACAGCGATCAAGGAAGGAATTTTGAGTCTCAAATATTCCAGGAAACTTGCCGAGTTATGGGTACTCATAAAACAAGAACAACTTCTTACCACCCACAATCTG